AGGTCATGATCCTGGAGTCCCGGGATCGAGTCCCACATCGGGCTCCCTGCTCAGTGGGGAGTCTGCTTCTCCCTCTGACCCTCCCCCATCTCATGTACACTCTCTCTCTCTCTCTCATTCTCGCTCTCTCAAATAAACAAATAAATGAATCTTTAAAAAAAAAAAACAAAGTAAGCTTGTAAACAAGCCTCTTCAGTTGACAAGTCAAGCTAGCTTCTGCAGAAAGGGGGTATTTTTTATACAGGACATAGGACTCTCCTACAGAACCTAAGAACAGGAACAGAGACAGGCCTTGAAAAAGACTAGAATCAACAGAAAGCTTCAGGACTTTTTGACTCATCTCAGCCACTCAGTGTCATTCTCTCTCTTGATTTGTTTATTCATTCATCTATTTATTTATTCAACATTGTTTATTAGAAGCCTTCTATGTTTTAGGAGCTGTTTGAGCACTGGGAAATAGAGGTAAACAAAATTAACCAATTTTCTGCCTTCAAAGTTGTCCTATTTTGGTGAGAGAAGACAGACAACAAACAAATATAAATAAAAGAAGTTTTGAGTATGCTAAGTGTTACAAGGGAAATAAACAGGGCAACATGACAGAGCATAACTGAGGAAGTGCTCACTTTAGTTATGAAGGTCAAAGAAAGTCCTCTTGGCAAATGGAAAGATGCCGAGAGACTGAAGGATGAGATGGAAAGTGCCATGTAAAGAGCAAGGGAAAGAGCATTCCTGTAAAGGATGAAGGCTTTAGGGCAAGCAGCTTGATGGTTGGGGGAGCAAAGAGGAGGCCGGTGTCCAAGAGTGTTGTTTGCTAGAGGAGGAAATGTCAAGGTAGGGATCTGAGAAACAGGAAAGTCAGATCATGGAGGACTTTGTCAGCCATGGTAAGGAATTTAGATTTGATTTGATTTGATTATTTATTTATTGAGAAAGCACATGAGCAGGGGGGAGGGGCAGAGGGAGAGAGAATCTTAAGCAGGCTCCATGCCCAGCACGGAGCCTGACATGGGGCTCCATCTCATGACACTGAGATCATGACCTGAGCCAAAATCAAGAGTCAGTTGCTTCACTGACTGAGCCCCCCAGGCACCCCAGATTGTATTTTAAATGTAAAGGAAAGCCATTAGGGAATTTTGGGCAGGAAATGCTATGACCTGGGTTGTCTCACAAAGATCACTCTGGATGTTTCAGGGAGAATTGATGGGGGGGTGGGGAAATGGGGAGAGCATTAGAAAAACATGGTAGTCGAGGACAGAATTGAATTATAGTGGTAGCTGTGGAGACAGAGTGATATACTTTTTAGGAAATACCTAGATGACAAAAGGGAGGAATCAAGGCTTTAGGAATTAGTAGGATGCTAATGCCACTTATGGGGATGAAGACTGGGAAATTAGGTTTGAGAGAGAAATCAAAATTCCCGTGTGAGACAAATGAGTTTGAGATAGAAACTCATGCAAGTGGAAATGTTTAAAAGACAGGAAGATGTACAAATCTTAAAGTCAGAGCTGGAGATAAAAATTTTGGAAGCAATAGTATTTATTTTCTCAAATTTTTAGTTAAGTTCTAGTTAGTTAACATACAGTACAATATTGGTTTCAGGAGTAGAATTCAATGGTTCACTGCTTACAGCACCCAATGCTCATCATAACAAGTGACCACCTTAATACCCATCACCCATCTACTCTGTCCCCGACCCACCTCCCTCCATCAATCGTCAGTTCTCTATCATTAAGAGTCTCATATGCTTTGTTTCCTTCTCTCTTTTTTCCCCCTCCCATGTGTTCATCTATTTATTTCTTAAATTCCACATAGGAGTAAAATCATATAGTAGTAGTCTTTCTCTGACTTATTTCACTTAGCGTAATATACTCTAGCTCCATCCACGTTGTTGCAAATGGCAAGATTTCATTTTTTTTGATGGCTAATATTCCATTGTATGTATGTATATAAATGTCGTATATATATATATGCATCACATCTTCTTTATCCATTTTTCAGTTGCTGAACACTTGGGCTGTTTCCATAATTTAGTGATTATTGATAACGCTGCTGTTGATAACACTGTTGATAACATTGGGGTGCATGTACCCCCTTGAATTTGTATTTTTGTATTCTTTGGGTAAATACCAAGTAGTGCAATTGCTGGAGTATAGGGTAGTTCTATTTTTAACTTTTTGAGGCACTACCTCCTTTGTGTTTTCCACAGTAGCTGCACCAGTTTGCATTCCCACCAATAGTGTAAGAGGGTTCCCCTTTCTCTTCATCCTTGCCACCTATTGTTTCTTGTGTTGTTCATTTTAACCATTCTGACAGCTGTGAGGTGGTATATCATCGTGGTTTTGACTTGTATTTCCCTAATGATGAGTGATGTTGAGCATCTTTTCATGTGTCTGTTAGCCATCTGGATGTATTCTTCTTTGGAGAAATGTCTATTCATGTCTTCTGCCCACTTCTTAACTGGATTTTTTGTTTTTTGGGTGTTGAGTTTGATAAGTTCATTATAAATTTTGGATACTAACCCTTTATCAGATATGTCATTTACAAATATCTTCTCCCATTCCGTAGGCTGACTTTTAGTTTTGTTGACTATTTCCTTTGCGGCACAGAAGCTTTTTATCTTGATGAAGTCCCAATAGTTCATTTTTGCTTTTGTTTCCCTCTCCCCCAGCAACATGTCTAATAAGAATTTGCTACGGCCAAGGTCAAAGAGGTTGCTGCCTGTGTTCTCTTCTAGGATTTTGATGGTTTCCTGTCTCACATTTAGATCTTTCATCTATTTTGAGTTTATTTTTGTATCTCGTGTAAGGAAGGGGTCATTTCATTCTTCTGCATATTGCTGTCCAGTTTTCCCAACACAATTTGTTGAAGAGACTGTCTTTTTTCTATTGGATATTCTTTCTTGCTCTGTTGAAGATTAGTTGACCATGAAGCAACAGTATGTATGTATGTATGTATGTATTTAATTTATTTATTTATTTGACAGAGAGAGACACAAAGAGAGAGGGAACACAAGCTGGGAGAGTGGAAGAGGGAGAAGCAGGCTTCCCGCTGAGCAGGGATCCCAATACAGGGCTCGGTCCCAGGACCCTAGGATCATGACCTGAGCCAAGGGCAGATGCTTAACAACTGAGCCACCCAGGCGCACCAGGAAGCAACAGTATTTAAAGCCAAAAGACTGATACTATAATCCAGGAAGAAGTGTTGACCAAGGTGTGAGGCAATTCTACAGATAGGATTTCCCCAGTTATTAAGGCTATAGAGAAGAACATGGCCATACCAGAACTTCCAAGTATACGTAATAGTTCTAGTCATCCAAAGAGGCTAATTTAACTTTCTCAGTCCCATTTCCAACCATCTGAGGAAGAGAATCTGATTGGCCCAGCTTGGGTCAAACTGGTTACTGAAGGGTCAGTCCCTGTAAATGGAGTGGGAAGGCAGGGATCAGAAGATTCTTTCTTAGAGAAAGGGGATGGTCACTTGCTTCCAGGATTAGCAAACACTTAAAAAATGACCCAAAATGACATGCATCAATTCTATAATCAGAAAAATGGATTTCATTTTAAATAAGTAAGGTCATTATTACTGAATGCTTAGTCTTATCCTTTTTTAAAAGTAGGCTCCACACCCAATGTGGGGCTTGAGCTCACAACCCTGAGATCAAGAGTCGCATGCTCTATGAACTGAGCCAGCCAGGTGCCCCAAAGTATTTTTTTTTTATTTTAAGTAATCTCTGCCCACAATGTGGGGCTTGAACTCATGACCTGAGATCAAGGGCCACATGCTCTACTGACTGAGCAGGCCAGGCACCGCTTAGTCTTACTCTTTAATAAGGAGTGGTCAAGGGACGCCCAGGTGGCTCAGTCGGTTAAGCGGCTGCCTTAACCGGGGGTCATGATCCCAGGGTCCTGGGATCGAGTCCCACATCTGGCTCCTTGCTCAGCAGGGAGCCTGCTTCTCCCTTTTTCTCCCTCTGCTTGTGCTTTCTCTGTCAAATAAATAAAATCTTTAAAAAAAAAAATAGTGGTCAACACCACCACAAAAAAATGCTACTGTGTCATGTACTATCAAGAAAGTAAGGGGCGCCTGGGTGGCTCAGTCAGTTAAGCAGCTGCCTTCGGCTTGGGTCATGGTCCCAGGGTCCTGGAATTGAGCCCCGCATCGGGCTCCCTGCTCAGCGGAGGGCCTGCTTCTCCTTCTCCCTCTCCCTGCTCAGGGGAGAGCCTGCTTCTCCCTCTCCCTCTGCCCACTGAGTGCTCTCTCTCTATCTCTCTGTCAAATAAATAAATAAAATCCTTAAAAAAAAAGTATTGATAAATTCATACATACAACTTAAGTACAGCCTGCAGAAGATAACCTAAAGTTGCATATAATTGACTGGATTTGCCTTTATTTCAGTGTCCTCTGGGACCTATAGCCTGGGAACTGATAGGACATCACATCTGCTGTGGACAACACATCAATAGACAACTACCTCTGATGGTACCAGCGTCAAAAGGTAAATTGTGCCTGAAGATGGAAGTCTTTTAAAATCAAAACAATGTTCAGTCTGTCATTGTGGGGCATCTTGCTAGCCTCCAGAGTGACTGCTTTGCTCTCAGCTCTTTTCCTCAATCTTCTCAACATTTTATTTCTAAATTATTACAACAGAAGTTTTACTGTGCAAATTTAGGAGGTGAAGCTAAATACCGCCACAACAAAAGCTGAGAACAAATGAGTGGTCCATTCCCCTATCCATGTTATTAGCCCTTCACTCTCACTAAACAAAGGTGGGCAATTTTAGATGAAAGAGCACAGCCCCACAAGAGCTTCTTCCACACTTAACTTTTTTTTTTTAAGGTTTTATTTATTTATTTGACAGAGACACAGCGAGAGACGGAACACAAGCAGGGGGAGTGGGAGAGGGAGGAGCAGGCTTCCCGCTGAGCAGGGAGCCCAAGGTGGCTCATTCCCAGGACCCTGGGATCACGACCTGAGCCGAAGGCAGACGCTTAACGACTGAGCCACCCAGGCACCCCTCTTCCACACTTACTTTAAGATATTTTTTTAACTTTGTCCCTACTCTCCCACCCCTCAGTCACAGTTACTGTTGAATCCATTTTTACTTGATTTCACTTCTATAAAGTTTTTTCAAGGGTAGGGTGCTTTTGCACTGCCCATGGGGTGTGTAAATGGTGAGGTCATTTTGGAAAAAAACTTGACATTATCTAGTAAAGTTGAACAGGCAACTTTACTTCTGGATAAAAAATTTGCAGAAATGTTTGCATATGTGTACCAGGAGACATATACTAGAATGGTCACAGCAGTGTTATTCATAAGACAAAAAATGGAAACAACATAAATGTCCATAGTTCAGGAAATGAATGCACATGGCTATATATTCATACAATGAAATAACAAATGTATTTTCTTTATAATAAAATAAATAAATCTAATTTTCTTTATAAAATTATAAAGAAATATAAGGCAGTTAATAGTTATAGAACATTTAAGATAGTGGTCACCTCTGGGGGAAGAAGGGAATAGTAGGGTGGGAACTTACAGAAGGTTCTTCATGTACTAGTAATGTTCTATTTCTTAAGCTAGTGTGTATGTTTGTGTACACTTTATTATTGTCCAACCTGCCCACATATGTTTTATTTCCTCTTTTATATGTGTGATATGTATACACTAACATTTTTATAATAATATACATAATGTGTTTTGTTTATAATACATTTTATTATACATAACAGTTTTATTGGGCTATAACTTACATGCCATAAAATTTACTCTTTTAAAGTGTACAATTCAGCAATTTTTACTATATTCACAGAGTTTTTTGCATTCATCCCAACTAATTTAAGAACATTTAATTACCCCAAAAAGAAACCCTGTAGCAGACATTTCCCTTGTCCCCACATTCTGCTCCTGATAATCACTTATCTGCTTTCAGGCTCTATCAGTTTGCCTATTCTGGACATTCTTTGTAAATGAAGTCACAAAACATATGCTTTTTTGTGAGTCTGGCTTCTTTCACTTGTCGTAGTGTTTTTAAAGTTCATCCGTGTTGTAGTATTTATCTTTATACCTTCTTTCCTTTTTATTGCTGAGTAATATCTCATTGTATGGGCATACCACATTTTGTCTATATATTCATCAGTTGGTGGACATTTGGGTTGTTTTTAGTTTGGGGCTATTATGAATAATGCTGCTGTGAATATTTGTGTACAAGTTTTTTGTGTGGACATGTTTTCACTTCTCTTAGGTATATACCTAGAAGTGGAATTGCTGGGTCATATGGTAGCTCTATGTTTAACATTGTGGGGAATTGCCAACCTATTTTTAAAGCAGTTGTGTCCTTTTATGTTCCTACCAACAATGTATGAGAGTTCCAATTTTTTCATATCCTCACTTGTTTGTTTGTTTTAAGATTTTTTTATTGATTTATTTGACACAGAGAGAGAGACAGCTAGAGAGGGAACAAAGCAGGGGGAGTGGGAGAAGCAGGCTCCCAGCTGAGCAGGGAGCCCAATGTGGGGCCCAATCCCAGGACCCCGGGATCACGACCTGAGCCGAAGGCAGATGCCTAACGACTGAGCCACCCAGGCGCCCCTCATATCCTCACTTGTTATTGAAGTGATATCTTGTGTGGTTTTTAAAAATTTGTTATTTCTCTTGTGGTTTTGATTTGCACTTCCCTAATGAATAATCACACTGAACATCTTTTGTGTCTTTACCAGCCCCTTGTATAGCTTCTTTGGAAAAAAGTCTCCTTAGATCCTTTGTCCATTTTTAAATTGAGTTATTTGTCTTTATATTGTTGGTTGTAAGAGTTCTTTATGTATTTTGGATACAAATCTCTTATCAGATATATGATTTGCGAATATTTTTCCCATTCTGTAAGTTGTCTTTTCACTTTCTTGATAGTGTCCTTTGAATCACAAAAGTTAATTATTTTTTTAAAGATTTTATTTATTTATTTGACAGAGAGAGAGACAGCAAGAGAGGGAACACAAGCAGGGGGAGTGGGAGAGGGAAAAGCAGGCTTCCCGCAGAGCAGGGAGCCCGATGTGGGACTCGATCCCAGGACCCTGGGATCATGACCCAAGCTGAAGGCAGTCGCTTAACTGACTGAGCCACCCAGGTGCCCCCACAAAAGTTAATTTTGATGAAGTTCAATTTATCTATTTTTTCTTTTGTCACTTGTGCTTTTGGTTTCATGTCTAACTTCATAGTGTCGTATTTAATACTGCCTAATCCAAGGTCACAAAAGTTTACTTCTGTGTTTTCTTCTAAGATTCTTGTAGTTTCAGCTTTTACATTTAGGTTTGTGATCCATTTTGAGTTAATTTTGTATATGGTGTGAGATAAGGATCCAACTTCATTCTTCTTTTTTTAAAGATTTTATTTATTTAATTGAGAGAGAATGTGAGTGAGAGAGGGAGAGCACGAGCAGGAGGGAGGGGCAGAGAGAGAGGGAGAAGCAGGCTCCCCACTGAGCAGAGAGCCCAACGTGGGGCTTGATCCTAGGACCTCAGGATCATGACCCTAGCTGAAAGAGGACGCTTAACCAACTGAGCCACCCAGGTGCCCCAGATCCAGCTTCATTCTTTTGCATGTGTATGTCTAGTCCTCCAGCACCATTTGTTGAAAAAACGATCCTTTCCCCATTAAATTTTCTTGGCATACTTGTTGGAAAGCATTTAACTGTAAATGTGAGGGTTTACTTTTGGACTCAGTTTTATTCCATTGATCTGCATATGTATCCTGTATCAGTATTATGCTGTCTTGATTATTGTAGCTTTGTAGTAAGTTTTGAAATCAGGATGTATGGATCCTCCTACTTTGTTCTTTTTCAAGGTTATTTTAGCTATTCTGGGTTCCTTTCATTTCCAAACGAACTTTAGGATCAGCCTGTCAATGTATGGGGAAAAAAAGCCAACTGGAATTTTGATAGGGACTGCATTGAATCTGTATATGAATTGTGGAAATCTTATCAATATTAATTCTTGAAATCCATGAACATGGGATGTCTTCCTATTTTTTTTTTTTTTTAAAGATTTTACTTATTTAAGGGCACCTGGGTGGCTCTGTTGGTTAAGTGTCTGCCTTTGGCTCAGGTCATGATCTCAGAGTCCTGGGTTAGAGCTCCCTGGGGGGCTTATTTATTTGAGAGAGAGCACGAGCAGAGTGGTGGGGAGGAGCAGAGGGAGAGGGACAAACAGACTCCATGTTGAGCATGGAACCCAGCACAGGGCTCGATCTCATAACCCTGAGATCATGACCTGAGCTGAAATCAAGAGTCAGACACTTATCCAACTAAGCCACCCAGGCACGCCACATTGATTGATTTTCATTTGTTAAACCAAGCTGTATTCCTGGATCCGTTCCATTTGGTTATAGTGAAAAGCCTTTTTATGTGTTGTTCAATTCAGCTTGCTATTATTTTGTTGAGGATTTTGTATATATAATTATAAGAGATATTGATCTATAATTTTTTGTGGTATCTTTGGTTTTGGCCTCAGGTAATAAGTTGGGAAGTGTTGCGTCTTCTATTTTTTGGAAGACTTTGTGAAGGATTGATGTTATTTCTTCCTTAAACATTTGGTAGAATTCATCAGTGAAGTCATTTGGGCTTGGGATTTTCTTTGTGGGATGTTTTCGGTTACAAATTCAGTCTCATAAGTCTGTTCAGATTTTCCATTTCCTCTTGAGTCAGTCTTAGTAATTTGTGTCTTTCTAGGAAATTGTCCTTTCCACCTAGGTTATCTAATTTGTTGACATACAATTGTTTGTAGTATTCCCATATAATTATTTATTTCTTTAAGGTTGGTAGTGATGTCACCTCGTTCTTTCCTGATTTTAGTAATTTGAGTCTTCTCTCTTTTATCTTGGTCATTCTAGCTAAAGTTTTGTCAGTTTTGTTGATGTTTCAAAGAACCAATTTTAGTTTTGCTAATTTTCACTATTATTCTTCTGCCTCCTGTTTCATTTATTCCTGCTCTAATCTTTGTTACTTCCTTCCTTCTGCTTGCTTTGGGTTTAGTTTCTTCTTCTCTTTCTAATTTCTTAGGGTGAAATTTAGTTGATTTGAGATCTTCTTTTTTAATGTAAGCATTTGTAGCTATAAATTTCCTGTTATCTGTTATCTCATCCAATAAATTTTGGGTTGTGTTTCCATTTGTTTAAGACATTAACAATAAAACATGTTTAATTAAAAAAAAAAAAAGGACCCATGGTGGGACCTAGTCAAGCTGGGTGGTAACCAAAGCCACATGTCTAGAGCTTGTTCAATTACTAATGCTAAATGGATCATAATATTTTAATAAGTGAAAAATCTAGGGGTGCCTGGCTGGCTCAGTCAGTAGAGCATGCGGCTCTTGATCTTGGGGTCATGAGTTGAAGCCCCAAATTGGATGTAGAGTTTACTTAATAAAAAAGAAAGGAAAAACCAAAAAAGAAAAATCTACTGTGTTCAGTATGCTCTTCAGCAGTGTGCAACTTGGGATTTTGTGCTTCTCAAAGCTTTAAGTGTTCCATTAACTGAAATGTGAGCTGGCTGAGATAATTTTCAAAGTCAGAAAAGTTATAGTACTGGTGACAGAAAAACTTGTGCGGGGACTGACCACCTAGAGAGTCAGTTTTGAGGCCATCCTCATGAACAAAAACCCAAAATAACTTAATATTTCTTCAAAAGAAGGTGCCAAAAAAATGAAGGATGTACATATTTACTTTGTGGGAAAGAAATTTTGTAGGTTTTATTACAAACTGTGTCAAATTTTCTTCCTGTTATTTATGAAATAGCTAAAAGTAAATAAAGTGCTTGTTATAAATAAGATTTTCATAAAGGTTTATGGTCATGTTAAAAATTCTATTCCTAGCTGGGCTCCTGGGTGGCTCAGTCGTTAAGTGTCTGACTTCAGCTCAGGTCATGATCCCAGGGTCCTGGGATCGAGTCCCACATCGGGCTCCCTGCTCAGCGGAAAGCCTGCTTCTCCATCTGCCACTCCCTCTGCTTGTGTTCCTGCTCTCGCTATCTCTCTGTCAAATAAATAAATAAAATCTTAAAAAAAAATTCATTCCTGGGGTGGGTTGGCCTGGTGATGGGTATTAAGGAGGGCACATTCTGCGTGGAGCACTGGGTGTTATGCACAAACAATGAATCATGGAACACTGCATCAAAAACTAATGATGTAATGTATGGTGGTTAACATAACAATAAAAAATTATTAAAAAAAAAATTTATTCCTAGTGATCATTCTTTCCTGTTAAGCTAAGTGTGCCTGGCTATCAGCTGCATTATTTTGTAAGTTCATTGATTTGGAAGTTATAGCTTTTTTATTCCCCCCATTCTAAGCAATCTTGAATTTATTTTGGAAACTTTGCTTTGGGAGAAGAGAAACTTTTTTTTTTCATTGAAGTATAGTTGACACACAATGTTACATTAGTTTCAGATGTACAATATAGTGATTCATGAGCTCTTTACTTATGCTATTACAAGTGTAGCTACCATCTGTCACTGTACAACACCATTGACTATATTCACTATGTTGTACCTTTCATCCCTGTGACTTATTCATACCATAACTGGAAACCTGTTTCTTCCCCTGCCCTTCCCCCATTTTGCCCATCCTTCTGTCCCTTCCCCTCTGGTAACCACCAATTTGTTCTCTGTATTTATGGGTTTGTTTCTGCTTTTTTTTGTTTATTTTTTATTTATTTTTTTAAGATTTATTTATCTGAGAGAGAGAGAGCATGAGCAGGGGGAAGGGCAGAGGGAGAGGGAGAGAATCTTAAGCAGACTCCCCACTGAGCATGGAACCCAACGCGTAGCTCAATCTCATGACCCTGAGATCGTAACCTGAGCCAAAACCAAGAGTCAGAGGCTTAACTGACTGAGCCACCCAGGTGTCCCTTGTCTATTTTTTAGATTGCACATATAAGTGAAATCATATTGTATTTGTCTTTATCTGACTTATATCTTTATCTTATTTATTCATTTATTTATTCATGAGAGACAGAGGGAGAGAGAGAGAGAGAGAAGCAGAGGGAGAAGCAGGCTTCCCACTGAGCAAGGAGCCCAATGTGGGGCTCGATCCCAGGACCCCAGGATCATGACCTGAGCCAAAGGCAGACGCTTAACCAGCTGAGCCACCCAGGTGTCCCAATAAATAAAATCTTTTTAAAAAAATGTGGAAGTGCTCAAAAGCTCATGGAGATATTTTAAAATGACACCAGAACCAACTGAAAAGGCTCAGAGTGGCTGAATCTGGGACAATTTGGGTGTCAAAATGAATAATGATACTGATGGATTGTAACCCACTGAATAAAATAGGAATCCATGAGAATGCATAGGTATAAATAAATATATTAATAAATAAATATAGTAAAGAGAAATCTTTACCCTAGAGTAGAATTCCAATTAATAAATGTAGAAGGAATAATGGAATTAGAATTATACTGTGGGTATGTCCTTGTTTTAAGGAAATATACAATGAAGTGTTTAGAAATAATGGGACATCATGTGTACAATTTACATTCAAGTGGTTCCAAGAAATGATAGGGAATATATGTAATATTTGGGGCATCTGGGTGGCTCAGTCGTTAAGCGTCTGCCTTCAGCTCAGGTCATGATCCCAGGGTCTTGGGATCGAGCCCCGCATCGGGCTCCCTGCTCAGCGGGAAGCCTGCTTCTTCCTCTCCCACTCCCCCTGTTTGTGTTCCCTCTCTCGCTGTGTCTCTCTTCGTCAAATAAATAAATAAAATCTTTAAAAAAGAGAATATATGTAATATTATATATTGTGATATATATATATTTGGAAAACAGTTTGACAAATTTTTTAAAAGTTAAACATACACCTATCTTATGACCCAGCTGTTTCACTCCTATGTATTTACCCAAGAAAAATTAAAACACGTCCGCACAAAGACTTATACACAGATTTTCATAGCTGTTATATTTGTAATAGCCAAAACCTGGAAACAATTCAAATACCCACCAACAGTAAGTGGATAAATAAATTATGGTATGTCTGTACAGTGAAATGCTACCAGCAATCAAAAGGAACTGTTGATATAAGAAAGAAACACCATGGATGAATCTCAAAATAATTATACTGAGTGAAAGAAGTCAAACCACCCCCCCCAAACTAAAAAATAAAACAAGTACATAATGGATGAGATCTATATAAAATTCTAGAAAATTGACATAAAGACCTACTGGAGGTTGCCTGGGGACTAAAGTGCATTGGGGTTAGGATGAGATGGAGAGGAATAGCTCACAAAGGGGCAGAAGGAAACTTGGCAATGATGGATATGTTCATTATCTTAATTGTGATGGTTTCACAGTTACATAAATATGTCAAAATTAACCAAATTTTATACTTAAATATATTCAGTGTATTACATGCCAATTATACTTCAATAAAGCTGTTTTTTAAAAACTTACTTATCATTTCCATAGGCTAGACCAGAGAGGTGTTAGTGGTGGCTGAGGTGGTTCTGAGACTAAAGTTCTGAGCTCTTTCTTCCAGGAAAGGAGCTATATTTTGAGTGCTGGGGTTTTAGGATCTTTCCCATGAGATCAGAGCTGACTCTGGGCCAGTGAACACACACACACTTAGACCAAGCAGATGTTCTATGTCCAGGAGGCAACTTTGGGGACAGTTTCCCGGACCACAAAAACAAATGAGATGACTCTTGGTAATCAAGAAAGGTTTCTATCTTTTACCTTAGTAAGGGTTTGAAGATGATTTTAGGCACAATCTTTGTCTAGGTCCACATTATCTAGTAAGAAGAATAAACAGAAGAGTAATTAAAAAGAAAAATGAAGTAGACTAACAGCCCTATTTGATATTTTTATAGAGAATGTACTTTCTAAGACTCTTAATCATTGGAAACAAACTGAGGGTTGCTGGAGGGGTGGGGGATGAAGGAATGGGGTAACTGGGTGACGAACATTAAGGAGGGCATGTGATGTAATGAGCACTGGGGATTATATGAGACTGATGAATCACAGACCTGTACCTCTGAAACCAATAATACATTATATAGTAATTAACTGAATTTAAATTTTAAAAAAGAGAATGTATTTTCTAGACAGGATGTTGAGTCATACCTTATGCTGGAACAATATGGAATGATATTCCCTATCCAGGAATGATATGTAATGATAAAAAGCTCCATTAGCACACATTTCATATCCTTCCTGAATTTCCTCTCAAACACTCGAATCAAGATAGATTGAAGCCCTTTGGACAAGATGCGATGAGACACCTGATGGGTTAAAAAAAATATTACATGGAAAAATAATCTCTATTTACCCTGTCTTGGGACTTTAGGTAAGAATATAAAAGCTCAACCACCCTTGAGCAGAATGAGCCGGGAAGAACTGGAGGACAGCTTGTTTCGTCTTCGTGAAGAGCACATGTTGGTGAAGGAGCTTTCTTGGAAGCAACAGGATGAGATCAAAAGGTACCTGGTGTTCTCCTTAAGTCTTTAAAAGCTGGGCTAAAAAATAAATAAATAAAAATAAAAGCTGGGGAACAAAGGGAAATGGGCAAGTAAGAGAAGGAGGTTTTTGTTTTTGTTTTAAAGATTTTATTTATTTATTTGACAGAGACATAGCGAGAGAGGGAACACAAGCAGGGGGAATGGGAGAGGGAGAAGCAGGCTTCCCATGGAGCAGGGAGCCCGATGCGGGGCTCGATCCCAGGACCCTGGGATCATGACCTGAGCCGAAGGCAGATGCCCAACGACTGAGCCACCCAGGCGCCCCGAGAAGGAGGTTTTTATTTGCAAAACGAAACCAAAAATCACATTGATCATTTATTGTATGCAGGCATATTGTAAATGCTTTATATGTCTTAAGTAGCTTAATATCATAAATGCAATTAACTTATTTAATACTATGAGGGAGGTGCTATTAAGAGGAAAAGGAAACATAAAGAAGTAATTTGCCTAAAGTCACAGCTAGCAAGTGAGTGGTAGCACTGAAAGCTCTTGACTCTGAAATTATACCACGTACAGTGACCTTACAGTATCGGCTTTCAAAAGTGGATCTCTTGGGTGGGGACCTGGAGAGAATTCTGAAATAGAGTGTGGATAAATAATCAGATGGGAAGAAAGGGAGTTCTGAAAGTTCAGATTTCATCTCTAGGACATATTTTGAGGATATTGGTGTCAGTGTCTTCCGGCCAAAGACTAGCAGGAACATACCTGTAGTTTGAGCAAGCTGGGTTTATTACTCATCACAGCTAGAGAAATGCACACCATGGGGAACTATGGTCGTTTCAATAAGAATGTGTTGGAAAAAAATCTATTATAGGATTTGAGTTTCAGTTGAGTGATTTGTGGGAGGGTCCAAGGTAACAGGAGTTTGCTCCAGATTTGATACTGTTAGAAAGCAGGGAAAATTCTGCATTTGAATATCTCAGTAAGTTTTTTTTTTTTAAGATTTCTTTTATTTATTTGCGAGAGAGAGAGGAGAGAGAGAGTGTGTGTGAGTTGGGGGAGGGGCAGAGGCAGAGGGAGAGGGAGAAGCAGACTCCCTGCTGAGCCCAGGCCCCCGCCCCCTCAAGATCATGACCTGAGCCGAAGTCAGACACTTAATCGACTGAGCTGCCCAGGTGTCCTGATATCAGTAAATCTTATCTACAGGGAAGGTAGACTAGAGTGAGGCTAAAGCTGTAATTGGTTAGAATAGCAGTCACTCATTAACCAGGAAAAGAAAATGTTTGGTATTTTGTTGTGGCACAGTGAACTTGTTTCTGTCTGTGTTTAGACAAAATTATGCGGTGCCCTTGTTCAGTATCACTCTATAATGGTCTCGGTGGCCTTGTCTGATATTGGTGTTCTGTGAGATTATGTCCAACAGGATAATAACATGGCCTAGCAGTGAGCACCAGGCCCGTTTCAAACAACACTGGGAACTAGTTATGTCAGATCAATTCCCCAAAGTCAAGAACAGCTTTTTGCTTTCTCACTGGTAATCCCCAAGAGTGGTTCAGAGCTACATTTAGAATCTACAGAATACAGGGGCAGCTGGGTGGCTCAGTTGGTTAAGCGTCCGACTCTTCATCTTGGCTTGGGTCTTGGTCTCCGGGTTGTGAGTTCAGGCCCTGCATGGGGCGCCACGCCATGCATGGAGCCCACTTGAAAAAAATCTACAGATACAGGCTTCCATTGTATGCCAGCACTCTTCAAAGTGGAGATTCTTTTGCACTGCGGAGAACTCAAGAATCTGGTGAAAGCAGGTTGCGTAGGCCAAAAAAATCTTGCTTCTTGGTTGATAACCAAAAAATACTTGAGATTGTAGATATTAAGTGGCTAAATTAGATTCTATCCCCCTGACTCCCCTGGCTTTGGGCAAATTACCTGGCTATATTTCATGACTTGATTTCTCTCTCTGGATATAATGACATGTAATAATAGCTAACTCCTACAGTGCTTACAACACACAGGACTGTTCTAAACACTTCACATATATTAATTTATTTAATCCTCATAACAATCTAATGAGGTGGGTGCTATTTTTATCTTTATTCATAGATGAGGAAACTGAGCACAAAAGGTTAATGACATGCTGAAAGCCACATAGATAGTATGTCAGAACTGGCCCGCAGGGGGTCACAGAATCTGATGGCAAGGATTGAAAGCATGATTTTAGGTCAAGATGACAAATAGTGGGGGTGCCTGACTGGCTCCATCTGTAGAGCATGCAATTCTTGATCTTGGGGTTGTGAGTTTGAACCCCACCTTGGATGTAGAGATTACTTAAAAAAAAGGAAAGATGACAAACTGATTGACTATCCACTGTAAGTAGGTCTGGGTGTATACTAAGGCTATTGAGGTATATACTAGGGGCTGTAGAGGAGTAATCCTTAAAGTTGGGCACGTATACAGGGGTGTGCGGACAAGTGGGGGATGGGAGAAGTAAATATTAAAATTTCTTCTTATATTTAATTATCTGCCCTTTAAAAATTAGTCTTTTTATGTTGTAACATGACCACGGTTTATCAGGACAGAAGTATATGCATATAATTTAAAAATAAATGTACAAATAAATATATTGAGATGTGGCCCAACATTTTTACTAAGACAGTTGTGTAATCATTGCAATTGCAATAGAATGGACAGAGATGGACACCACAATGTCCCTGCCTTCCCAGAGTTAATTGGGGATAGAAAATTGATTTTTAAAGTGTAACTAATAGACCACAGTAGATAAATTTATATCACAGATCGGTTCATGATTATGTGCCACCAGATCAACTGGAGAAATAATAACATAATTACAGACGGAGGAGCCATCCCCACCATCTCTACTTTTGCTCATAGGTTGAGGACGGCCTTGCTCCGCCTGACCGCAGCGGGCCGGGGCCCCAGGGCGGATGTGGCGGAGGCAGAGCAGCCGGCAAGGCGGCGGCGGAAGGCGGGTTGGCTGCAGCCCCCTGCTAAGCACCAGCGCCCCCTGATGCATGGGCTGCAACTGCAGTACCAGCGTGTCGGCCCCCCTGCTCGCGGACGCTCCCAGCCGCGGGTCCGCGTGGGACACAGACAGCTCCACACCGCCGGTGCCCCAGCGCCCGAGAAACCCAAGAGGGGTGAAGTTCAGAACCAAGTTTCCCACATTGCTCAGACACTGGGAAGGATTGATCTGACAGCCACAGTTTCCTCCTCACTGCTTTACTTCACCCACCACCCCATTTTGTCTTTTTGTTCCCAGCGCTTCCTACCTCCCTAAAATCTTTTTGTCCTGGGTGGTTTGTCAGGTTCGAAATGGTCAGTTCAGCGTGAAGTACTGCCGAGGAGAGAATCAGACAAAGTAAACAGGAATTTTGCCGGTCAAGTTCTGCAGTGGGCCTAGAAAGTAGATTAGATAATGTCCCACTCCAGTCTGAGTGGCAGTGATCTTAAGACAGGTCCCTCTACAAGGCCTATGGGACCCTGGGCTGAGTGGCCATGCCTCTAAAACTGGGGTTCTTCGCTTTTTGGGGGGACGTGGACTCCTTTGAAACCATGCTCAAAGCTAGGTCTCCTTCCAAGAAAAGTGCACGTATACGTAGTCAAAACTGCATACAATTCCACCAGTTCAGGGGTGTACAAAGCCCATTCCTGAAGTCCAGGCCTAGAAGTCAGGCTGTAAGTGAGCACTTGAAATTTCTCTTCTTTCTGTATATTCCAAATGGCTGAGCGTCTCTGGCTGCTGAAAACCCAACACTGAATTAAGTAAAATGTTTTGTGTAAATTTCCTTCACTTAGCCTACTCACTCCATGGGAATGGGGTGTCTTTATCCTGGGGATTCAATGTTAGATTTGTTTCATATGGTTCTATATTTTCAAACTCCCTACTGGAGCCAAATGAATCTTTGCAAAAACAGCTAGAAGTAGAAAAATTAAGTAAGTCTCAGTTTCAGTTCAGTTTGACTTCAGCATTATTGAGTACCAGTTATATACCAGGTACCAGAGATAAAGATGCATTAGACACACACAGTCCCTTTCTTCTTTGCACCCTTCTTCTTCCCACTTATACTCCCTTACTTGGCAGATTGTAGTCCCTCTGGCTTAGTAAGTCTGTAGTTGCACATCTACGCAAGAGTAAAGACTGAGAACCTCTCCTCTGGGATCAGTGGTCCTTATGGGGATTTCCTCCAGGTCTCAAGGCTACCTGTTTTTAGCACTTGGTGTTCTGGAGAAATCTGTTGCAGAGTCTGCATCTTCTGTCTAAACTTTCAGGGCCCAGTGACAGGCTGAGCTACACAGCCCCTCCCACATTCAAGGACCATGTGACAAATGGGAAGACCAGAGGTGAAATATCCAGTGAACTGTGAGTTCTTTTCATTTATCCTACACTGTTACTCTAAGCTTTAATTGGAAATACATCATTTAGGGAACAAGTGAATGTTGGCAATTTCAAGTCTTCCCAGCATAATCAGAGAAGATGAAAGTCAGCCCTAGGTCAAATTTCAACTTCGTTGCTTAAAAGTGGGAAATAAGCATCTCTCTGTCTTTGAAGGAAAGGCAAATAAAAGCCCTTTCCTAATTGAAGGTATTCCCTCTCTTTCCCTTTCTATTTCTCTCCCTTAGGTCATAATTCATTTATATTTCTGTTTGACACTTGAGAGCTGTATTTTATAAGATTATCCATTGCACATACCAAATTAATAACTCCTCTAACTTCTCTTCATACATGTGAGAACTCAGTTCTAAATCCCTGTTAAGAGCAATTTCTACTTCTTCTTTTTTGTGGTTAACGTTCCTAATTCTAAGAATGTAATTTCTTTCAGTAAAGTCATAATTATGACTAAACTAATTGATCTGTGCATGCCTAACAGTGCTCATGTTATGACCAGCAATACTATGCTAGTGGAAGAACCACCCAAGTCTCCTGAGAAAATGTGGTCCAAAGATGAAGAGTTTGAACAGAGAAGCTCTTTGGAGTGTGGTCAGAAGGCCATGGAACTTCGGTAAGAGCGTGGCATTCCATACCTCAAACCATATGAACTGAAAAAGTAAGAGATTTTTATTCTTATTAACTCTGGCAGAGGAAAGGAGAATGCTTGGGATTAAATTCAATCTTAAATTCAGTCAGAAATAGACGTGGATTCCCATGTGGGTTAAGAAATGGATTCACCTAAAGAGAATGTTTATGTATATTGGAAGATTTGCTGTTTCACATCACAGAAGGAAAACTTTTTCATCCTCATCACCAGGTAGGGGTTCTCAGTCCTCACTGTACATCAGTCTTTTCTGGAGAACTTTTTTAAAAGTAGACTTTATTTTTTAGAGAAATTTTAGATTCACAGCAAAAATTGAGCAGAAAGTGTAGAGATTTCCCATATACCACACACCCACAGCCTCCCACTCTATCAACATCCCATACCACAATGGTATTTTTGTGATAGTGGATGAACCCATACTGACACATCATTATCATCCAAAGTCCATCGTTTACCGTAGGGTTCACTCTTGGTGTTACACATTTTATGGGTTTGGACAGATGTATAGACATGTATCCATCATTGTAGTATCATAGAGAGTAGGTTCATTGCCCTAAACATCCTCTGTGCTCTGCCTTTTTATTCTGCCCTACCCCTTAGCTCTGGCACCACTGATCTTTTTACTGTCTCTATGATTTGTGCCTTGGCCAGAATGTCATATAGTTGGAAAAATACACTATACAGTCTTTTCAGATTGGCTTCTTTCACTTAGCATATGAGTTTAAGTTTCCTCCATGTCTTTTCTTTTCTTTTTTTTTTAAAGATTTTATTTATTTATTTGAGAGAGAGAGAATGAGAGATAGAGAGCATGAGAGGGAAGAGGGTCAGAGGGAGAAGCAGACTCCCCGCTGAGCAGGGAGCCTGATGTGGGACTCGATCCCAGGACTCCAGGATCATGACCTGAGCTGAAGGCAGTCGCTTAACCAACTGAGCCACCCAGGCACCCACCTCCATGTCTTTTCATGGCTTGATAGCTCATTTCCTTTAGCCCTGAATAACGTTCCATTGTCTGGATGTACCACAGTTTATTTATCCATTCACCTACAAATGACATCTTGGTTGCTTCCAAATTTTGGCCATTATGAATAAAACTGCTGTAAACATTGATGTTCAGACATAGTTTTCAATCTGGAGACCTTTTAAAACTATAGAAGCCTGGAGGGATGGTGGGTGGGTGGGGTAGGTTAAATGGGTGATGGGGATTAAGGAGGGCACTTGTTGTGATGAGCACTGGGTGTTGTATGTAAGTGATGAATCACTAAATTCTACACCTGAAACCAATATTACTCTGCATGTTAACTAACTTGAATTTAGATAAAAATTTGGGGGAGAAAAAATCTTCTATTCCAAAAAAGATAATATTAAGAAAATAATGATATATGAGGTAATACAATATGGAACATACCACACAAAAATAAATAAATAATTAATTAAATCAAATCAAAAGCTTGTGTATCTTATAATATAATATATTTCATATAAACAGATCCTGAAAATTAAAAAACAAACAAACCAACCCACAGAAACCTGGGCCCCACCCCAGAGATTCCCTTTCAATTATTTGGGGGTGGACTTCAGGCACTATAGGTATAAAGATTTCCCCAGATGATTCTAAGAAGCAGCTAAGACTGGGAATCATTGAGATAGAGCCTAATGAACCCAAATCTACCTCAATACCTTAGAAATAATAAAGAAAACATGGTCGCCTAGGTTGAGAAATAATAATCTTCCCCTGTGTTTCCCTCCATATCCATACCTTTCTGGTTTCTCTAAGGAAACAGGACTCAGACTCAGCTGGACTTTATAAGGTTTATGGGAAATTGTGAGCACCATAATTTAAAAAATAGCTATTATGTTTTCTCATAACACAGGGTTTAAGGTTGGTGGCATCTCTATTCAATCCCAGCTAATAGGAGGGGAAATGGGAGAGAGGAGATTATTTACTGGGGTGTACATTCACTTCCTACTTCTGGTATGCTGTGGGCGAGGTGAAAAGGCAAGAGGCAAGAGGAAGATATTCTTATTTGGTACAGTTTGAGGGGAAGGGTGTTTAATTCTGTCCATTCACAGAATGTCTTAGCATTGTCTTCTTTCTCCAGAGCTTCCATTAAGGAGAATATAGAGCTGATTCGGCTTAAGAAGCTCTTACATGAAAGGAATACCTCATTGGTAGCAACAAAAGCACAATTAACAGAAGTTCAAGAGGTGAGCTGGCAGGGCAGGGCAGTGTGGGATGGCCTGTGGCCCTCAAATCTCAGACCCCTGGCGTCCTTGGCTGTTTGAGAAGCCCTGCTGGGTCCAATCAGGCATCCAGTTCCAGTGGGGACTGTCTGTCACCAGTTTGGGGGGGGAAAGAGTCAGTATTATTTTCTCCATTATATACATGGAAGACCACAACTGAGAGAAATAAATTGTCACACAACTTATAGGGGATATTCAAATCCAAGCCTTGCAATTTCAAGTCCATTCTTTTCCCAATACTTCCATTATCTATTAGGAAGAAGGCTCAAGCCCTGCCTTCTAAGGTGGAATTAAGTGGGGTTAACTTGTACCAGAGTTAAAGTCCCAGCCAAGGGCCACACCAGAATGTAATTAAGTTGGGAAGCCAAGAGCAGTCACAGGGAAAGGGCAGGAGACTAGTCTTTACTGAGGACTCACCATGTGCTGGACTCTGTCCCAGTTGCTTGTAGTCATGGTCTCATTTAAGCCTGACACCAGCCCTCAATGTAAGTACATTTAACGGATGAGGGAACTGAGACTCAAAGAAGTTAAGTGACTTGTATAAAAGTCATAAAAATACTAAGGGTTTGAGCAGGTTTTGAGTCCAGGTTCATCTGGCACCAAGGCTCCTGCTCTTTTCTCATTACCACACAAGAGAAACTCATATACGACTGGTGGAAATGGGGCATCAAAGGTCTAAGTGATAGATCAGCACCATTCTTTTGTTGAATAAATATTTATTGAGTATCAGGAACTGTGCAAAGCAGTGGGACACAAAGATTACAAAGTAAGACAGCTCCTGCCTTCAAGGAACTTACCGGAGCAAGAGAACAAGATGTAAACAAATACAGCTATCCACATAAGGAGCACTGGCAGGAACATAAGAGACACAAAGACACAAGAGTCAGATCCTCAGAGAATGGGGTGCGGGATCCAGAAAGGATTCATAAAGGAGTATATTCATGAGCCAAATATTGGGATACTGAAAGATTAGCAGGTGTTAATGAGTGTGCAAGAGAGGGGAGGGTTTTCCAGGGGAGGAGAGGTGTAGGCTAGGGCACGGAGGTGAGATACATCAGGGACTGGATCATGGAAGCTTTATCAGGATTTTATTTATTTATTTATTTATTTTTTAAAAGATTTTATTTATTTATTTGAGAGAGAGAGAATGAGAGACAGAGAGCACGAGGGGGAAGAGGGTCAGAGGGAGAAGCAGACTCCCCGCTGAGCAGGGAGCCCGACGCGGGACTCGATCCCGGGACTCCAGGATCATGACCTGAGCTGAAGGCAGTTGCTTAACCGACTGAGCCACCCAGGCGCCCCAGCTTTATCAGGATTTTAGACTTTATCTCATAGACAGTGGAGAACTGTAAAAAGGTTTTAAGTAAGTTGATAATATGATCAGTTTTTTCCCCAAAGAGATCAATTTGCCTTTTTTTAATGTTTGAAATTTTTTTGAAATACATTTTAATAAAGAAATGATACTTTAAAAAACTATTATAAAGCAATAATAATGATTAACTTGGAGTAGTAGAATTATAGAGGACTGATATCATAGTCTTTATATTTTTCTGAAATTTTCAACTTATCAGAATCACAAACCCAGAAGGAAAGATCATCTGACAGTGGAGTGAATAATAAAGATTGGCTGGTACAAGTAAAGTGATCAGGTAAAAAATGACTGCAGTGCTCTAAGAGAGACAGCTGCGGGTCCCAACCAAGGCAGTGAGAGAGGCCCACAAAGAAAGGACTGTATTGGGAACTTCCAGAAAGTAGAAGAATGGACTTCATCACCAAAAGGGAATTGGTGGAGGAAAAGGGGAAATGAAAGATGATTCCTGATCTCTAGCGTGGGCAAGAAGATGATGGTGGTGTCATTCATCTAGATTGGCTACAGTTAGCACTGCCCTGGGTACTTCTGTTCTGATGGGGATGAAAGGCATCTTCACGAGGTCAACCCCCAAACCTGTGTTTTGGAGAGAACTATGCATATGCTTGTATTCTTTTGACTTGGTTAATTTTGGTAGCACTTACAGAATGTGGAAACATGGGAAGGAAGATAATTTAAAATTGTATGGGCAAATAGCATTATTTGTAGGATTACATTTTTTTTTAAAACCCCATCTATTCCTCCATTGCTTTGAAGGAAAAAAGGAAGCAAGCCATTCTAAATCTTTACTCATGTTAGTGGTAGTGGTAGAGATGACCTAAAATGGTGAGTACTCACCCACAATTGTTTAAAATGTAGGTTTTACAATTTGTTTTTCTTCAGCAGTTTGTCTTTCTAGTCATTGTTTCTTGCACACATACTTAAAAAAGTTTGCCTTGTCTCAATCCCTTAGCAGTAAAATACGGTGTTTGGTAGCACAGACTCTGGAATCAGACAGGCTGAAGTAAAGTTCTGCCTCTGCCTCTTGATAGCCCTATGACTCTGAGCAAGTGACTTAGCTCTCTGAGTTTTGGGTGTCTCATTTTTAAGGTTTCAGTAATAACAACTACCTCTCAGATATGCTGTGAGGATTAAAAGATAATATATGTGAAATAATTATAATGATCATAATGTAACAGATAATGAAACACACAGTACTGCTCAACCAATAACAGCTGTTGTAGTTGGTTTGGTTAGTGTTGCTTTTTCTGTTTCTAAAACTGGAAAGAAAATTCTCTGAAGCATGCTGAGTAAGAGATAGCACCTACTCTGAAAATAAATCTTTTTCTTGGATATTCCACCAAATGCAATACAAATGTGAATACATGACCCTTCATGCCTTTTAAAGAAATTGTGTCATCTGCTGTGTTCACAAACTTGCTGGCAAGCTAGGGCAAGGGGAAAGTAGCAGCAATTAGTAAACAAGTATACAAATTGACTTGATTTATAAGAATTTTTAAATATCTCTTAAACTAACCATTTAAACATTTGCTTTACAGAGATAAATATCAAAACAAATATTGAGTTGATAAATCAGTAGAATAATATGTATTTCTTTCTTTCAGGCATATGAAACTCTGCTCCAGAAGGTACTTAATAAAGATTGCTTAAATCTCTATTTCTTAGTAGTAAGAGTAATAACTCCCCCCAAATTTGTGTTAATCTTCAAGTAACATAACACCAGAATTTAGCCAAGTAAATCAAAGTTATTATGATCTATAATTTCTATTAAGACAAATGTCCTATTACTATGATCAGAATATATTTACTGTGCCATTTTCATTAAACTGAAATATGAGATCTGAAATACATGGAATAGTATTTTTCAGCCTATTGCTAAAGAGAATTATATAGCATTTGTTCAGAAATTCCTAAGAGTATTCCTTTAGCATGTATAAGGTGATGAAATATAACAAAGGTGTTGCATACCTCCTCTGATGTTCTTAAGTGTTCAGCGCCATTCACTCCTGTGAATGGGGTGCAGGTGAAGCCAGGTGAATGGCCATGATGAAGAGTTACTAAAGCAGAGTTACCAAAGCAGAGTTCCCAGCATGAACAGCCACAGCTGTTCCTCACCAGAGAACTTCTGCACACTTCTGAGTTAACATGTCACTTTGCTAGGTGCAAAAGAAAGAGTGTATCACCCTAAGAAGCAGTCAGATAGCTTAGAACATAAAGGCAGCTATGAAAAGTTATCACTTCACTTAGAGCCAGGGTTTAATTTGAACCTTGGGAAAATTCATGCTCCAATTATGCATCATAGTTTCCTGGAGTGGAAAATTCTCACTAACAGGGAAACGATACTTCCTGAGAAACGCTAGAGTGATAAACAAGACCAATTTACAGTGCAAAGGCACCATGCTATTAATCAAAGCCATTCTTCTTGACATCCACTAGGGAATGCTAGGGTTGCCAGTATCTTGAGACCATTTCTACTGAGTGATATGACCATTCCCAGAGCAACTTTCCTTTTGCCCCAGAATCAGGGAATCCTGAGTGCAGCCCATGATGCCCTCCTTGGGCAAGTGAATGAGCTCAGGGCAGAACTGAAGGAGCAAAGCAAGAAGGCTGTGAGCTTGAAGAGCCAACTGGAAGATGTGTCCATCCTGCAGATGACACTGAAGGAGGTAAATAATAGTAATAATTGAAAGGTGGCATCAGTTGTAAGTTACATTTCAATTTCAGAGATATTAAAAAGTGTATCTTAGCAACACTATGGCTATTTCATTTTTTCAAATGAGAAAAATGAGCCTCCAAGTGGTTAAATAATTTGCTCAAGATTACACCATTAGGGAGAAAACTGGGATTTATAGGTTTTTTTTTTTTTAAGTTTTTGCTGTATTACAATGTTCTGCTGCTTCCTTAACAGTAGAAACCCAGACACCATGAAAATTTGCTCCAGAGAATCCTCATTATTTCCAGTAAAAGTTTCTATCGCACCAGCTGGTTCAAGTCTTTCTAGTTGAATGGCTCCTCATAGACATGAGACATGAACATAGGAAGCCTTCTACCCAAGCCCCACTCTGCCACAGAAGAAGGGAGACGTGCAAGGGCATAGGTGTTACAATTTTTATCTCAGGCACCCTCCTGTCATTCTTAGTTTCAGGAGAGAGTTGAAGATTTGGAAAAAGAACGAAACTTGCTGAATGACAATTATGAAAAACTCTTAGAAAAGTGAGTAACAAGTTTGGGTCCCAGAGCACTGTTTGTTATAGAAGACAATTATAGAAAAGTGCCCTCACGTTCTAAAACAATGCCTAGTGTGGATAAGGGGAAGCTGGTACTCAACACTGTTAGTGAGAATATAAATCGGCACAGTCTTTTTAGAAGGGAATTTGGTGCTATCTATCAAAATGTTAAACATGGGGGCACCTGGGTGGCTCAGTCGGTTAAGCGTCGCCTTCGGCTCAGGTCATGATCCCAGGATCCTGGGATTGATACCTGCATTGGGCCCCCTGCTCTGTAGGAAGCCTGCTTCTCCCTCTCCCACTCCCCCTGCTTGTGTTCCCTCTCTCACTGTGTCTCTGTCAAATAAATAAATAAAATCTTAAAAAAAAAATGTTAAGCATGCATATACATGTATTTGCAAAAATAATGTATAATGTTTTTTTCTATTATAATTTTTTTTATTATGTTACGTTAGTCACCATACAGTACATCATTAGCTTTTGATGTAGTGTTCCATGATTCCTTGTTTGCGTATAACACCCAGTGCTCCATGCAATACGTGACCTCCTTAATACCCATCACTGGGCTCACCCATCCCCCGCCCCCCTCTAAAACCCTCAGTTTGTTTCCTGGAGTCCATTATCTCTTATGATTCCTCTCCCCCTCCGATTTCCCCTCCCTTCATTTCCCCCTTCCTTCTCCTAATGTCTTCCATGCTATTCCTTATGTTCCACAAGTAAGTAAAACCATATGATGATTGTCTTTCTCTGTTTGACTTATTTCACTTAGCATAATCTCCTCCAGTTCCATATAATAATAAGATATAATATAATATAATAAGAATGTTAATTACTACATTGTTAGTAAAAAAAAAGGTGGGAACATCCAAATTTCCTTTGATAGAGATTAAATAATGTTGCATCCCCACAAAAAAATACTATTAAGCTGTTAAAAATGAGGTAGACTTAAAAAAAAATGAGGTAGACTTATATGTCTAAGATATATTATTAAAAGAAAAGTCAAGTTGTAACAGAATATGTTAACTCTGACTTACTTATGGGGGATGTGTGTGGTATGCCCGGGTGAGAGAGAGAATCTGCAAACCTCTCATGAGATGAAAGGATTGGAGTAGGGCAAAGAGGCACCTTCACTTTTAATCTATATACTTCTGTATCATTTTAATTTTTTATAACAAGCATATATTCATTTATTAATTTTAAAATTTAAAATACCTGGAAGTTTAGGGGCATCTGAGTGGTGCAGTCGGTTAAGCGTCCGACTCTTGGTTTCGACTCAGCTCATGATCTCAGTGTCATGAGATTGAGCCCCACGTTGGGCTCTGCGCTCAGGGCGGAGTCTGCTTAAGACTCTCTCTCCCTCTCCTTCTGCCTTCCCCACCCCTCCCCTGCTTTCTCTCTCTCTAAGAAATAAATCTTTAAAAATAAAATAAAGTTTAAAATGAAAGTTTAAAAAGAAGTTAAATGTGCCTTCTGTCCAGTTAAAGGCAGTAGGGGATAGATTGGAGAGATGGTATGGGAGCATCCTGGGAATATCTGATGCTCTTCAACTCAGTGAAACAAAGTGGTGTGGGGATTATTCACTTTGGTTTTTTTTGTTTGTTTGTTTTGTTTTAAATTTTGTTGTTTTGTTAAATTTTATTTATTTATTTGACAGAGAGAGACAGTGAGAGCAGCAACACAAGCAGGGGGAGTGGGAGAGGGAGAAGCAGGCTTCCTGCTGAGCGGGGAGCCCGATGTGGGACTCAATCCCAGGACCCTGGGATCGTGACCTGAGCCGAAGGCAGACGCTTAACGACTGAGCCACCCAGGCGCCCGGGGATTATTCACTTTGAAGAGTCTGTGTAGCAAACATTACTATTAGCCCCTTCCCTTCATCACTCAGAATGTTATCTGCTTGGATCATCATGTAATGTATGGCTAGGAGGTGCCAAGAATTTTTTTTTTTTAAAGATTTTTTTTGTTTATTTGACAGAGACAGCGAGAGAGGGAACACAAGCAGGGGGAGTGGGAGAGGGAGAAGCAAGCTTCTCACTGAGCAGGAAGCCCAATGTGGGACTCGATCCCAGGACCCTGGGATCATGACCTGAGCCGAAGGCAGATGCTTAACGACTGAGCCACCCAGGCGCCCAGAACTTTTTTTTTTTTTAAGTGGGCTCGATGCCCAGCGTGAAGCCCATTGCAGGGCTTGAACTCACAACACTGAGATCAAGAGTCAGACGCTTAACCAAATGAGCCACCCAGGTGCCTCCAGAACTCTTAATACTAGCTTAAGCAAGTTGTTTTTGGACCACATTTATTCAAATGAAAAATAGGAAAAAGACATCTGCAGAAGTAATAGCTTGATTATCAATGTCACTTCACTTATGTAAATAATCAAAGACAGGGGCGCCTGGGTGGCTCAGTTGGTTAAGCAACTGCCTTCGGCTCAGGTTATGATCCTGGAGTCCTGGGATCGAGTCCCACATCGGTCTCCCTGCTCAGCAGGGAGTCTGCTTCTCCCTCTGACCCTCCCCCCTCTCATGTGCTCTCTCTCTCTCATTCTCTCTCTCAAATAAATAAATAAAATCTTTAAAAAAAATAATAATCAAAGACAGACCATGTGTTTTACACTCAAAATGGGTCTGCCCTGACAGCTAGTCACAATGGTGTGCAGGGTACAGTCATTGAAAAAGGTAGTTCCTGCCCTTCAGTGTAGTAATTTATAATCTAGTTCAAAGGCAAGTATTCTCTAAACCAGCCATTAGTGAAGATAGATAGAGGAATGGAGTAAGGAAAAGAGGAATATTTTGTTCCTCATTTTTTTGAGTCTATTTATTTAAGTAACCTCTGCACACAACATGGGGCTTGAACTTACATCCCCGTGGTCAAGAGTCATGTGCTCTTCCGGCTGAGCCGGTCAGGTGCCCCTGTTGCTCATTTTTAATTCAGCAGGCCTGAGAATGTCTTGGTACACAGTACCTGAAGAAAGCCATCATGCTGGAGAAGTTCCTTGGGAAATAGATGTGACTTGGGTTGTTTGCTCAGTGGGCTATCTGAGACCTAAACAGAAGTGATACTAAGGAACTCCTCAGTAGAGCCCAGAAGTTCCAAGGCAGTTGGTAAATGACAGTTACAGAGAAAGCACGGACAGAAAAAACATGTAGGGGAATGAATGATGCGCTAGGCCCAGGAGATGCTGAAACTGTGTAATAAAGACGTCACATCACACAGCTTTGAGTATTTATCCAACTTTCTCCTTGCTCCTTACTTGCTTCCCATTTTCAGCATGCTGGACAGCAGTAATCAGCCTCACTGGAGCACTGAGCTCCTAGGAGAACAGCTACAGCAGAAAGTCTCTCAGTTGCAAGACCAGCTGGACAGTGAGCTGGAGGAGAAGAGGAAAGTCTTACTTCAGCTGTCCAGAGAGAAAGGTAGGTCAGGCTGTGAAGACCTTTCTCAAGTGAGGCATCCTCTATGTCTGGTGTGGGAGAAGGGAACTTGGGCCAGCATTTCTCCAGTCCTCTCCAGTCCCCTCCAATCCCCTCACCTGATCCTATTTTTGTATGGATCAGGGATAACTAGAATAAGAACACTGGCAAGCTGGCAGTCAGATCAAATTTACAATCAAGAAAGCATGACACCTACCTTACACACAGAGGTTTTTATATGTAATGAGTTTTCATTTGAGAGGATGACAACTCTTAAATTTATTGTTTTTATTTATTTATTTGCTTTTTGAGAGAGAGAGAGAATCTTAAGCAGGCTTCGTGCCCAGTATGGAGCCCAGGGCGAGGCTCAGTCTCACGACCCTGAGATCATGACCTGAGCCAAAATCAAGAGTTGAACGGATGCTCAACCAACTAAGCCACCCAGGCGCCCCTTAAATTTATTGTTCTTAAACATTCACTTTATTTATTGAAAATGCCTTTTATTCTTACCAATTATTTTAGAGGTGACTGGGAGTCTTGCTTTTTGTTTTGTTTTGTTTTGTTTTAGCACCCCAAACTGCGAAGCAAATTACTGCTCTTGGTTACTACTTCCATTTTCCCGTCTTAACTCTGAATCACAGTAGATAGTTATTCTGAAGACTTTTAAATACTGTCAAAGAGACCGTTGTCTCACTTCTTTTTGCTAGGCTTGACCTTAATATTTGGTCATATCAAGGTTAGATTTCATTAGATTCTAGTATATTCACATAGAAGAGTGAAGAAAAAGAAATATCAAGAAAATAGAGCTAGGAACCATAAAGGGATAAAGCTCAGGAGCACATGCTAAGGACCTTGTAGTATATATGAGATACAAAGTATTGTAAGGACTTTGGGATAATCTAATCTAAATTCCCTCCTCTAATGCATGATAATGAAATGATCACTAAACAGTGATCACCTTCCTTCCCTGAAACACCCATACCCATCCACCCAAACGCATGCAGAAATGCCCAAATGCCCATTCTCCCTCCCTCCAGGTCAGGGTGGGAGTGGGAGGTGTCACAGGGAACGGATAGCATGGAAGTCAGAATGGAGTTGGGGAGATACTGGTTTGGCTGGTGCTAGCAAAAAGTTTGCACTGTAGGGCACCTGGGTGGCTCAGTCAGTTAAGCATATGCCTTTGGCTCAGGTCATGATCTCGGGGTCCTGGATCAAGCCCCGTGTCAGGCTCCCTGCTCAGTGGGGAGTCTGCTTCTCCCTCCCCCTCCACCTTTCCCCCCCACCTCATGCTCTCTCTTTCTCAAATAAATAATAAATAAATAAATAAAACCTTTTTAAAAAAGAAAAGTTTGCACTGTAGAGGTACCTGGCTGGCTCAGTTGGTAGAACATGCAACTCTTAATCTCATGGTTGTGAGTTCAAGCCCCACATTGGGTGTGGAGCCTACTTAAAGTAAAAATTTAAAAAAGAAAAAAAAAGTTCGCACTATCCCAGTCAGTCAAGTGGCTCTGTTTGCTGCTGGTGGTGGTTGTGTTGTTTTTTTTTACAGTTCTGCAGGTGTTTTTTGGGTCCCAAGTGTCAGCTCAGTTTATTGGGTCAATAAGCTGGAACCCCTCTGTAGAAATAAGATGAAATTGCTTCTCTAAAGGTAAATTTATAAAATAAATTAAACATCAGTGGGAAAATTTAATTAGCACTTGGTCCAACTTTAAGCTTGATTTCTGATAACCTACAGAGTTTCAACTTTCTGGCTGATTTCCCACCCCCCCACCCCCCAGCTCAAAACAAGGATCTGCAGCTTGAAGTCACCAATCTGCTTCAGAAGCATAAGCAGGAAGTAGAGGTCCTCCAAAATGAAGAGACAATTTCCCAGTCTCTTGACAGGCAATCTGAATCAGCCACTCACCCAGCTCTATTCCAAGAGACCACTCCGACAGAGGTAAGAGCATGCCTAATCAAGCAAGTCCCCTGAACAGAGGGATCCCCTGTATAGAGGGATGTCTGGCAAATACCCCTGGAAGAGACGATGCTTGAGGGCAGTCTTCAGAAGGCCGTGAGAAGGCTGAGAATACAGATAGCTTCATGAGCTCCACACATTTTTCCCACCCTTTACAGCTCACAGCATTTAGAATGCTTTTTCAAACAAGGACTTGCAATGATCTGCAAAAGAGCCAACAAGCTATTAGAGGCTGTGTAACTTACTGCTGCTACTGAACATGAGCAACTAGGGGAGAAAGCCCTTGTGAAGTGCCGCAGTCCCCTTTTACTCCTGCTGCTGGTATTTTCCTATTACCAACAACTGCTTTGAGGATAGTTATCACCGTGCCTCTCATATTTCTGTTCCTTTTTACCCATGCTTTTCTCCCGATAGCCCTGTGAACCCAAAAACCAAGAAGAAAAGAAACTGTCCCAGATGCTAAGTGAGTTGCAAGTGTCGCATGCGGAGACCACGCTGGAACTAGAGAAGACCAGAGACATGCTCATTCTGCAGCGTAAAATCAACGTGTGCTATCAGGTGCAAGAAAAGGTGGTACAGGAAGGGGCTAGATAAATGGGCACTTGGGGACCACTTCCACACTGGGAATTAAGTGAGGCCCTAGTTTCCAGGGCTGTTGCGAGGCGATATGCTGCTCTGTGCAACACAGAATGTGCCGTCCTTTGACACACTGGAGGACTCGCACGTGCCTGTGGCACCTTGGCAGTAGAAGCTGGTGAAGGGGCCAGCTAATGAAAACCAGGCTTCTGGTTCCAGTTTTCCCAGAATCAGGAAACTGTTATCCTATGGCACCAATAGCACAACTGGTCCTGGAGGAGTCTGTGATGACCCCAGGATTTTTTCTAGTGGATCAGTCTGCCCTGTTAAGGAGATAGCGGAGTCTCCTTCACCCGAACAAGTGCCACCTTTTTATCTGGGCCCTTTGGTGCTGGGCCACTGAGATAGAAAAGTTCAGACGTTATTTTTTTTTTTTTTCAGGAGGAACTGGAGGCGATGATGACAAAAGCCGATAATGAAAGTAAAGATCAAAAAGAAAGACTGGAGAGGTTGAATCAACTGCTAGACCTCAAGAACAATCGTATCAATCAGCTGGAAGGTATTTTGAGAAGCCATGGCCTTCCGCTATCCGGCAAGTCTTAGTCCTTTCTTCTCATCTTGGACCCGTCACGTAGCTAATGCTTGTGCTGCCTCTGTGCACCTGCCTGGAAGGAGGCCTTTTGCGTCTCGGCAGGAGACACGTCTCTCCTGTTCTTCGTCCTACCGTCTTTGGTGTTTTCACACATGGGTAGTGCCTTCTTTTCCTCTTTCGTGGCAGTGTCTTCCTCTGATTCCTCTGAAGAGTTTCAACAGGGCCCAGTGATTGCTGAATCTGTTTTGAGAATTGAGAGCATATCACTGTTGGCCCCCAGGTTGGCGTAACACACTCCCTCTCTCAAGGTTGTTTCCTCAACCCAGGCCAATATAGAGCTTTATCACTCATCTCTCAGCATCCTTTTCTGTGACTTCTCTCTAAAAGTCTCTCAGTTCTTTGGTGCAGTTTGAGGATGTCGACGTGACAGGGCAGCTGGCCAGACACTTATGCAAATTTCACAGTGTGGTACTTCCTTTATTTAGGACAGTCGCTGCTGACCAGGAGCTGGTCTCAGTCTCACCTGTCAAGAATGTTGGCTTTGTTATTAGACTCAGTTTTCAGAGACCTGACTCACACTAACCAAATTCACCAAAGATCGATATTTAAATCAGAATGTTCATTTATTATTTTATGATAGTGGCTGTTTCATTGCTGCCATGAGACGGTCTGGAACTAGTGTTCAGGGCAGTCCTCTCTCTGGGAAGCAGAATCAGGAAGCAGCTTACTTAGTGAGTGCGGAGCTAGAGTGAAGGGAGGTGGGTCATGCTGGGGCGTGATTTATCCATGCCAGGGCCAGTCTGTTAAAAAAGTCACTGCCATGTAACAAAGGAAATCCTCCCTTGGATTGAAATTCTCATGTCTTTCAGATTCAGGGTCTTTCTCCTGGGACAGTACAGGATAAATCCTCTTATCTACTTCTGAAGACTTATTTGCTTTAACTTATAGTTCTTTCATTCCTGGTAAGATCAAAGAGTTTTTCATATGTTTACCAGTTATTTGTATTGTGTCTTTTGAGAATTGCCTGTTTCTGTCCTTTACCTGTTTCTTGATAGCATTTTATTCATTTGTAGAATTTCTTTATATGCTAAGATTTTTAGCCGTGGGCCATGGAATGCAAAACTTTAAATCTATTTTAGTTACGTTAATCTTATCAGTTAAGAAACCATTAATCTAATCTTTTTGTACTCCATTTATTTTGGGCAGGAAGACATTCTGATGTGTTCAAAATATTTTTATTCTACTACATTAACTCTCAATATATGAATTTCATCATCGACACACATTGTGATGATTCAAATAACTCCCCAATTTGAAGCAGACTATATATCAAAGTTTCTGATTGGTTGGACATGGGAGGTAATGCACAGATTTGATAGACTGTCTTACATATCTTTTCATCCCTTTGCCAGTATTTTCAGTCTATTTCCAGTAAGTTTCCTCTCCAACTTTTTACTCCATTACTCTTTGACTTAACAGTGGATTTTTTTTTTTGCCTTCTTATGTTGAAACTAAATTCTTAACGGTGTAGATTCTTACGACTGATCTGGCTGGAAGGGAAATCACTTCTTGGTGGAGCCCAATGTCATGTAGTAGGCACCATGACTGTATCTTGGTATTCTCTCAATGGCCCACATCCCAAATTTTTGGAAATACTCCTGTGGTGTGTTTCTAGTGCTTCTCTATCGGAATTAATAATTAATTCATAGGACTTTGCTGTGAGATAAAACAATGACATCTGTAGATGAAATTGTGCCTCCAGTGTTTTCCTGAGCTTAGCATTTACTTTCCAATCATTCATTTTGTACCTTATCTCTAAAGCAGGCCTTGGGTTAGTTGGCCGTCAGAAATCAAAACTCCTGGTTGTCATTCTTTTGCTTTTCTTTTTGAATTACATGGTGTCTCGAAATCATCAACAATTTGGACTTTCATCATGATTTTTATTCTCCTTCTGTCCAACTTCTTTTACCCTAAGGAAGAGCTGTCTATGCTTTAATGGATAGGCAGTTTTCTTTTCCCTCTAGAACAGCTCAAAGATGTGGCTTATGGCACTCGACAGTTGTCCTTATGTCTGGAAACCCTGCCAGCTAATGGAGATGAGGAGAAAGTGGACATTTCTCTGCTGCATCAGAGTGAAAATCTTTTTGAACTACACATCCACCAGGCCTTCCTGACATCTGCTGCCCTGGCTCAGGCTGGAGACACTCAACCTACCACTTTCTGCACCTATTCCTTCTATGATTTTGAAACCCACTGTACCCCACTAGCTGTGGGGCCACAGCCCCTCTATGACTTCACCTCCCAGTATGTGGTGGAAACAGATTCCCTTTTTTTGAACTACCTTCGTGGGGCTTCAGCCCAGCTTGATCTACACCAGGCTATAGCCAGTGAGCACCACACCCTTGCAGCTGGATGGATTTGCTTTGAGAGGGTGCTGGAGACTGTGGAGAAAGTCCATGGCTCTACCACACTTACTGGTAAGTGCTGTTGGTTTCCCACAGCTCCCAGGACTAATGTGGAATTTCCCAGAGTCTGTAGTTGCTCTTCTGGTGGTTTCCCATTTTCTTCCTCAGCCTTTATTCTTAATCCTCGCCACACCATCCATATCGTCCATGCCTTTCATACTTTCTGCTATCCAGGAGCTGATGGAGAAGACTTTGGGGTGCTAGAATACTGGATGAGGCTGCGCTTCCCCATAGGATCCAGCCTACAAGCAGGCAATAAGCGAAAGAAAGCTCAGGCCTACCTGTCAGCCAGCGTGCTTGGAGCCTGGGAGGCGCGGGAGGATAAGGTGAGAGAAAGGATGTGCCCAAGCATCTCAAAGGAGCCACAGCCAAGCAGGTCATGAGAACAGCTCAGTCTTCCACTCTCAATAAGTATTTGCTGAATGTGAATGAAGGAGAAAAACTGTCGTGCCACAACCAATCCAGATTCTTCCCTTGGTCAAGCTTGGGTTTGAAATGAAATCGTACCCTTGGAGCTAGCTGCCTCCCCCCTGCTGTGAACAAAATAGCTTCTCTGTTCCATTCTCTAAGATAAGGCTTGAGGGCCAGCACCTCTCTCAAATAACTATCTGCCAGAGCTAGTATGCAGGCCCAGGAAAGTCATTAGGTTTCTGTGACCCAGTCAGAGTTCAGCAGTTCCTTAGGTCATAGCTCTTCCTCATCAAGGGTGCTGGGCTTCAGCTACAGGTCTCTCAGGCTGCCCTTTTCCTTCATCCAAGACCAACATCTCTCCAGTCCAGATCAGAGACTTGGAAGCATCAGAATGAGCTGCGGGTGGAAATCATCAGATGCTACGGCCTCCGGAGTCGACAGCTGGGAACCCAGCCCAGTCCATACGTCATGTACCGCTTCTTCACCTTCTCTGACCACGACACTGCCATCATTCCAGCCAGTAACAATCCCTGCTTTAGAGACCAGGCTCGATTCCCAGTGCTTGTGACCTCTGACCTGGATAAATATCTGAGGCAGGAGGCCCTGTCTGTGTACGTTTTTGATGATGAAGACTCAGAGCCTGGCTCGTACCTTGGCCGAGTCCAAGTGCCCTTGCTTCCCCTGGCACAAAACAAATCCATTAAAGGTGGGAGATCGAGGTTATTACATCTTTATGCTCTCCGCCCAGTGTTGTCTTCGTGTTTTACTTTTCTTTGATTACTTGCTTGGAACAGTCTCTCTTAAAAAACCTGCTGAGAGGATTTTAGAATATGGTCAAGAGCAACAGAGCAGAAGACTCAGTGCCTCACCGATCCTACGGAAACATTGGCTGCTTCTGCTTTTCCCCCCCTTTTTTTTTAGCAACAAAAGCAAGGTTCTTAAGTGGGTAGACCCACCAACCTGAAGTCCATACATCCATCTCTGAACAAACCTTTTCTGACTCTGTAGTGCTTCCCAGTATTTGTGTTTACTTACGGCCTATTGTTTCTTTCTTTCTTTTTTTTTTTTTAATATTTTATTTATTTATTTGACAGAGAGACAGTGAAAGAGGGAACATAAGCAGGGGGAGTGGGAGAGGGAGAAGCAGGCTTCCCGCTGAGCAGGGAGCCTGATGCGGGGCTCGATCCCAGGACCCTGGGATCATGACCTGAGCTGAAGGCAGACGCTCAACGACTGAGTGAGTGCCCTGGCCAGGTGCCCTGGCCTATTGTTTCTTAGCACATGACTAGATACAGACTATAAGCTGTGTCCTTAATACTCTCCCATAATTTTCTTGCTTCTTTTAAGCACAAGTTAGACTTTCATGCCACATCATGACAAAGGCAAATTTCTTGGATCTTTTTTTCCCCAATATGGAACTGATGTGAACTTAGGAAGGGTCAACTCTCTGGTTCCGGTATTGGGAGGGTGAGGCAGGGGTATCTGTGCTCTCATTACCAAGTATGGTTGGGTCTAGCCAGTACCAACTATGTTTAACAAGCTTCTGGATGTTCCAGAAAGTGTGTGAGGCCTCCCTCCTTCTGATACCACAAGAGCTAAAAAAAAAAAAAAGCCGACACTTTTCTCACAACTCATTCTTTGCCAAAAAGAAGAGGCAATATGGGCCATCTGTTAAATTAATCAGTGTTACAAATCAGAAGTCTGGCATTTAGAAAAAGCAGTTTTGCTGAAGTTTTCTTGGCTTTTGTTATTTTAGAAATAGGGACCACTTGAGTGTAGATAATGGTTTCTTCGGTCTACCTAAGGCTTAGCAAGCATTAGGTAATAATAATAATGCATGTTTATTAGCTGGGTGACTGATGACAAGCAAGGTGTACCTTTCCATATGTCTTTTGACTGTCCCTTCCTGAAACCTGGAGATACCCATCTTCCCTCACGAATATTCTAAGTGAATATTAATATTCACGCTATTTTATGTTACTCCTTAGTGTGTTATCATTATGCTTATGTAATGGATGTTAATTAATGACAAACAAAATATGGTAAAATTCAAAATCGGGGAAGAGATAAGGCTCTGGTAAATTCTTGCCTACTTAATGTGGTCAGATCTTATTAATGTCTGTTTGTCTCTCAGGTGATTTTAACCTCACTGACCCTGCGGGGAACCCCAGTGGATTTGTTGAGGCGAAACTGGATTGGAAGTCTTTCTACCTACCCCCAGAGAGCTTCCTGAAACCAGAAGCTCAGCCTGAGGAGAAGGACACCAAAGACAGTTTAGAGATTTCATCTGAAGAGGAAAAGTCTTCTTTTTCTCCCCAGGTAGCAGATCTCCACCAATCCTGTGGAGCATAGTTGAGGAAAACAGTATTAAAATTGTAGTATAAGAAATGCCTCCTGTGAATGTCACGTGTCCGGCAAACTTATTCTGCATCCCTCGTAGTGCTGTGAGCCTACCGAGGAAGCAAAACCCTGGGTTTTATTGTTGGGAGGAGAGAGAGATGGCATCTCTCAGCTCTGTGGCAGGAGAAGCATGAAGTCTCATGCTTGGCTGTTAAACTCTCATCTTGTAAGGCTGTCTCTGATCCTTCTATTTAGGACCAGATGGCATTTGCTGAGATTCCCACTGAAGCTGGCCGGTATCAAGCTAAGCGAAAACCTCCACAGGTAGGAGAAAGAAAGGAAAGGGAACATCAGGTTGCAAGCTACTCGAGAAGAAAACATGGCAAAAGAACAGGCATCCAAGGGAAGAACAGAATGGAATATCTTAGTCGTAACATCTTAACTGGAAATACACTACAAGTAAGGCCTTAGAAACCCTGCAGAGTTAAAATATGGGTTGTAGGGTCCCCAGATATATTATTCTCAGGTAGAAGCAGACACCCAAGATCAGCAGTAATCATGTTTTTGTTTTTGTTTTTTTTGTGGCCAACATGTGTTTCCTCAAACACAGGTAGTTTAATAAAACTCAACTGTTCACTTCATTTCAATGTAATTTAATTCAACAGCTTATGGACTCTGCAATTTATACTGAGAATTTTACCAGTCTACCTCAACTGTAGTCAAAATAAGTTAAAGAGCAAATATTTATTGAACACCTACTATATGCTTTATACTGTCTTTTCTTCATAGGAAACTAAAGTTACAACGTAGCAGCTAAAAATATATGAGATTGTAAATATATATTATCACAAGATTAAATAATATGATTATGTTATAATCATGTATATTGTATTGGATAATTACATTAATATATAATTATTAATTTTATGAAATTATTATAATTATATAATATATATACAGTCGACCCTTGAACAACATGGATTTGAGCTACATAGGTCCACTTATACATGAGGGGTTTTTTTGTTGTTGTTGTTTTTTAAGATTTTATTTATTTTTTTGACAGAGACACAGCGAGAGAGGGAACACAAGCAGGGGGAGTGGGAGAGGGAGAAGCAAGCTTCCCGCGGAGCAGGGAGCCTGATGCGGGACTCAATCCCAGGACCCCGGGATCATGACCCGAGCTGAAGGCAGACGCTTAGCGACTGAGCCACCCAGGCGCCCCTACATGAGGGTTTTTTTCAATAAATACAGTATTATGAATATATTTTCACTTCCTTATGATTTTTTTTCCTAATTTTTTTTTTTACAAAAAGTTGTAAGTTTATTCCCATAACATATTCTAACATGTATCAAAGTTTCAAGCAGGTCCTTTTGAATCTTGAATAAGAAATTAAAACATTCAGCATTAATTAAAAATAAGAGAAGGGTGATGATGGTCATTTATGGGTTTTAGTCTAAAATGAAAATGCAGAAAACCTTTATTTTGGTGGATATGTGTTGATGCCGTATTTCTCCTTGTGAAGCTTCCATTGCTCTTCTTTTTTGTGTCCATCTTCTTCTTTTTTTTTAAGATTTTATTTATTTGACAGAGAGAGCACGAGCAGAGGGAGAGAGAGGGAGAAGCGGGCTCCCTGCTGAGCAAGGAGTCCGATGTGGGACTCGATCCCAGGACCCTGGGATCATGACCCGGGCCAAAGGCAGCCACTTAACCAACTGAGCCACCCAGGCGTCCCTGTGTCCATCTTCTGAAATGCCCTGTTGACATTATAGTACAAAACCACCAGGTGTCTGTTACAAACATTGAATCCTGAAATGTGATCACGTGCCTTCTTGGCATCAAAGATGTCTTCATAGACGACATAAGCTGTTTCTCTAGTTTTGGGTGTGTTCCCCACTCAGATTTGACGAATAGGTCGATATTTACCAAATATATCATACATTTCTTCAGCTGTGATTTTGTATGGCAAATTTCTTATATGTAAAATCCGATTTACTTCAGGTGGAAGTCAAATGTTACCCCTCTTGGCCACTTGCATCGCCATCTTGGTGGTCTGATAAGGTTACTGCAGCAAACACTAGAATTCCTCCAGACACCTCTGGAGCTCGCTCTACTCTTTTTTTTTTCCAAATTTTTATTTAAATTCTAGTTAGTTATAGTGTAATATCGGTTTCAGGAGTAGAATTTAGTGATTCATCACTTACATGTAACACCAAGTACTCATCACAAGTGACCTTCTTAATACCCATCACCCATCACACTCCCTTCCCTCCATCAACCCTCATTGTTTCTCTATTGTTTGTTCTCTATCATCAAGAGTCTCTTATGGTTTCCTTCCCTCTCTTTTTTTTTTCCTTCCCATATGTTCATCTTTTTGTTTATTAAATTCCTCATATGAGTGAAATCATATGGTATTTGTCTTTCTCTGACTGACTTACTTCACTTAGCATAATACGCTCTAGCTCCATCTACACTGTGGCAAATAGCAAGATTTCATTCTTTTTGAAGGCTGACTAATATTCCATTTTACACACACACATACGCACACACACACACACACACACCACCTCTTCTTTATCCATTCATCAGTCAATGAACATTTGGGCTCTTTCCATAGTTTGGCTATTGCTGATAATCCTTATGATTTTCTTAATATTTGCTTTGCTCTAGCTTCCTTTATTGTAAGAATATAGTATATAATACATATACAGAATGCGTTAATCAACTGTTTATGTTATTGGTAAGGTTTCTGGTCAATAGTAGGTTATTAGTAGTTCAGTTTGGGGTGGGGTCCAGAAGTTACATGCAGATTCTTGGTGTCCCCAACCCCCATGTTGTTCAAGGGCCAACTGTAGTTATATTTGTTGTCCTTATTCTGAAGCAGATGAGCTACACTGAATGGAAGTTCTCAGGGCTTAAGAGCTCCAGCGATGACGGTTTAAAAAATCAGCAAATGGAAGAGGAAATGACATCATCGCACTCAGCAGTGATGCAGAAAGAAGCCCTAAATCCTGTAACTGGTATTGTCTTTTTTAAAATCTAATTTTCTGTTTAATCATTAGATTATTTTATCAAGTCAGTTATTTACTTTTTTTTTCATCTTGCATTGCTAAACTTTTCATGGAAAATGAGTACTGAAGACCCTAGACTTAGTTTTATGTTACAAGTGTGCCGGTTAGGCCAACCAAGGCTGGAATTCTCAAAGTAGCTTTCTATGTATTTAAAACTTGTTAGCTTGCCAGTTTAGTTACCTAGCAAGTATATCTTGTGAATTAAAGTTACAAAGAAATAGGAGAAGGAGTGTGATTGGCTTATTTGGGATGTTGATCCAAATTTTTTTAATTAAGGCAAAGCTTTTTTGTGTTACAGTGAAAGGTAGACTTGGTTTCAGGTTATAATATGGGCAAACTCCATAATTCAGACCAATTCCCTCATTGATGACAACTAAAGAGGTGAAGTTAATATATTTTTAAAAGATCTTAACGTTTCTTAAAAGCATTAGATAGTCCATAAGAGAGGGAAGAATTACCTAGCCTCGATCAGGAAGATGTTTGAAGCTCAGAGAAGTGAGCTGGAACTGCTTCAGCCCTGAGACATTGCTATTTTGGAAGAAGCGGTGGAGAGACAGAATCATGGTTTTGGTGGACTTTTGGGGTGGGGAAACAGGATGCAGTCTGAATCTGGGATATGCCTAGCATAGGAAGATGTCTACCCTGGGCAGAACTGGCCACTTTGGTCCAGGACCCAGAAGGCAGCAGCATTCTGAGTCTCTTATGTCCTGAGAGGTAGCACGGTGCTTTGGGCACTTGCAGGGCTGGAGAGACAAGGGCTGACCCAGTGCCCACCAGGACTCCAGACACCGGAATTATCCGACACAGCCTGTGTAACAGCTGTGTTTACTAGCTTCATGGAGATATAGCTGAATTTTAAAATGTCAACAAAGAACTGGAGCTATGAGAAAAATTGAGATCGTAAGTTTTAAAAAATGTTTTGTCTTAAAATAATTTCAAACTTATATAAGAACTGCATGACTAGGACAGAAAAATTCATCTACACACCAGTTCACACAAATTCACCAACTTTTAGCATTTTCCCACTTTCTGCTTTATCATTTATTCTGAAGCATTTGAGAACAAGTTGTACATTTCATGCCCCATTACTGCTATATATTTCAGTAAGGAAAAGAAAATTACATGACCACAGTCGAGTTACCAAGTTTGCAAACTTATCATGGATACACAGTTGATTCTCAGAATTTGCTGGTTGTCGCAATAATGTCCATTATTAGAAGTCTTTTGTCTGGGCGCCTGGGTGGCTCAGTTGGTTAAGCGACTGCCTTCGGCTCAGGTTATGATCCTGGAGTCCCGGGATCGAGTCCCACATCGGGCTCCCTGCTCGGCAGGGAGTCTGCTTCTCCCTCTGACCCTCTTCCCTCTCGTGCTCTGTATCTCTCATTCTCTCTCTCAAATAAATAAATAAAATCTTAAAAAAAAAAAAGAAAGAAAGAAACCATGTGCTGCTAGAAATGTGTTCTGCAGGAAACTGTGAGTTGCTGGAGCCAGGTACTGAGTTGCAGAAGCCTGTTGTAGGAGCCTGGTCTACAGAGTCCTTCTCTTCTGCAGGAGTCTGCCTGCACATTGGAAACAGGAAGAGAAGCCTTTTCCTCCTCCAGTGATCCTTTTCTCCTCTCTACTGACAAAACTGAACATGGTTCAGATGGCAAAGAAGAAATATTTACAGGGTCCAACTCTATCATTGCAGAGCAGATGATGAAGTTTTTATTTTGAGGGGAGAAGCAATTAATTGATAATTGGCCTGCTGATCAATTAAAAAAAAAAACAGCAAAGACACAAGTTAGCAAAATCAAGAATGACTGCAAGGCCACTACACACTCTACAATTAAAAGGGTCACAAAATAATATTATGAACTTTATGCAACTTAGATGGAAAAGACAAATTCCTAGAAAGATACAAATTACCAGAACTGACTCAAGAAGAAATAGAAGATCAATATTGACATATAAAAAGTATAGACAAGAATTAGTCATTTTAAATCTTCCCAAATAAAAAAGTCCAGTTCCAGATAACTTCACTGATGAATTCTGTCAATATTTAAGGAAGAAAAAATGCTGATCTTTCATCGTCTCGGAGAATAGTAGAGCAAGGGAAGCTTTCTAACCGATTTGGTTATAAAGTGGTATTGTCTTGATACCAAAGCAAGCCTAAGACATTAAAAAAAAAAAAAAGACAACTATAGACCACTATTCAACATGAACATAGATGCAATATCCTAAATGAAATATTAGCAGACCAATCCAGCAAAATATAAAATATAAGGTTGATCACCATGATCAATTGAGATTTATTCCTGGAATGCAAATTTAGTTTAACAGCAGAAAATTGATTTAATACACTGTATTAATAGAATAAAAGCTTTATGATCATCTCAATAGAGAAAAAAGCATTTCAAAAAATCCAACTTCTGGGCGCCTGGGTGGCTCAGTTGGTTAAGCGACTGCCTTCGGCTCAGGTCATGATCCTGGAGTCCCGGGATCGAGTCCCACATCGGGCTCCCTGCTCGGCGGGGAGTCTGCTTCTCCCTCTGACCCTCTTCCCTCTCGTGCTCTCTATCTCTCATTCTCTCTCTCTCAAATAAATAAATAAAATCTTTAAAAAAAAAAATCAACTCCTATTCTTTTTTTGTTTTGTTTTAGATTTTTTAAAATTTATTTATTTAGAAAAAGAGTGTGAGCAGGGGGAAGGGCAGAAGGAGAGGAAGAGAGAGAATCTCAAGCAGACTGCCCTGAGGGCAGAGCCCAATGTGGGGCTCAATCCCATGACCCCAAGGTCATGACCTGAGCCAGAACCAAGAGTTGGTGGCTCAACTGACTGAGCCACCCAGGTGCCTCCCAACTCCCATTCTTGATAAGAACTCTCACCAAACTAGTAGAAGGAAATTGCTTCAAACTAATAAAGAGTAATAAAACCTGTAGCTAACATCCTACCGTGTGGTAAAAGACGGAATGGTTTTCCCTTAAGATTGAGAACCAAGAATGGATGTCTGCTTTCACTACTCTGTTTGAACATCATGTAATAAGGCAAGAAAAAGAAATTAAAGTCATACCAGTTAGAAAGAAAGAAGTAGTGCTACCTTTATTTGCAATTGACATGATTTTGTATTTACAAAATCATAAGAAATCCACAAAATGTTTTTAAAAACTAAAAGCAAGTGAACAACATTGTAGGATATAAATCAAGATACTAAAATCAATTATATTTCCGTATAGTATCAATGCACACTCTAAAGTGAAATAAAAAAACAGTATCATTCCAAAAGAATAAAATATTTAGGAATAAATTTAACAAAAGAAATGCAGGACCTATATACAGAAAACTACAAAAGTTCCTGAGAGAAATTAAAGAAGTTTAAAATAAATGAAGAAATGTACCATGTTTATGGATTCGACCACTCATAATTGTTAAGATGGCAGTTCTCCCCCAGATTTATATAGAAGTGCAAAGAATTTAGAATGACCAAAACAAGTTTGTAAAGGAACAAAGTTGAAATTTTTATACTACCTGATTTTAAAACTTACTATAAATATAGAGTAATTCAGACAATGTGGTATTAGCATAAAGATACAGATCAGTGGAATAGAATTGTGAAACCAGAAATAAACTTTTACATTTATGGTCAATTGATTTTCCACAAAGGTCCCAGGACAATTCAATATTTAATCTTTCCATAAATGGTACTAGGACAATTGGATATCCACATAGAGGGGGAAAAAAAAACTTAGACCACCACTTCACATCACACACAAAAACTAACCAAAATATATCATAAATCTAAATATTAGAACCAAAACTATAGCATTTCTAAGAGAAAATGTAGGATAATAAACTATTTGACCTTATTAGACAAAGATTTCTTAGATATGACATCAGAAGCATGATCCATAAAATTAAAAATTGATATATTGGACTTCAGCAAAATAAAAAATGCATGCTCTTCAAAGGATACCATTAAGACAATGAAAAGATCAGCTACAGATTAGGAGAAAATATTTGCAAATCACATTTATGATAAAGGACTTGTATCCATAATCTGCAAAGAATTCTTATAACTCAATAAAAAGACAACTAAATTTAAAATGGTCAATAGCGGGGCGGGGTGGGAGGATGGTTAGCCTGGTGATGGGTATTAAAGAGGGCACGTTCTGCATGGAGCACTGGGTGTTATATGCAAACAATGAATCATGGAACAGTACATCAAAAACTAATGACGTAATGTATGGTGATTAACGTAACATAATAAAAAAAATCATATAGGAAATTAAAAGAGAAAAAATAAATAAAATGGTCAATAGAGGGGCGCCTGGGTGGCGCCTTTGGCTCAGGTCATGATCCCAGGGTCCTGGGATCGAGCCCCACATCGGGCTCCCTGCTCAGCAGGAGGCCTGCTTCTCCCTCTCTCTCTCTCTCCCCCTGCTTGTGTTCCCTCTCTTGCTATCTCTCTCTGTCAAAATAAATAAATAAAATCTTCAAAAAAATAAAATGGTCAATAGAGGGGTGCCTAGGTGGCTCAGTCAGTTAAGCATCTGGCTCTTGATCTTAGCTCAGGTCTTGATCTCAGGGTCGTGAGTTTAAGCCCATGTGCTAAAAAATAAATAAATAATAAATAAATAAAATGGTGAATAGATTTGAGTAGACATTCACTAAAAAGCATACACAAATGGCTAATAAATATACAAAAAGATGCTCAACAGCATTAGTCATTAGGAAAATGCAAAATAATATCGCAATGAGATACCAGTACACACCAGCTAGAATTTATATAGTCTAGAGGTTGATTGTACCAAGTATTAGTGAAGATGTAGAAAAATCGGAACCTCATACATTACCGGTGGGAATATAAAACAGTACAACTACTTTGTTTTTCTGTTTTTGTTTTTGTTTTTAAAGATTTTATTTATTTATTAGAGAGAGAGAATGAGAGAGAGAGAGCACGGGAAGGAAGAGGGTCAGAGGGAGAAGCAGACTCCCTTCTGAGCAGGGAGCCCGATGTGGGACTCGATCCTGGGACTCCAGGATCATGACCTGAGCCGAAGGCAGTCGCTTAACCAACTGAGCCACCCAGGCGCCCAGTACAACTACTTTGAAAAACATTTGGCTGTTTCTTAAAAAGTTAAACATATAGTTTACAATCCAGCATTTCCTTTAAGTGTCTATCCAAGAGAGCTGGAAACATGTGATCACCCAAAGACGTGTACCAAATCCTCATAGCAGCATTATTCATCATTCAGAATAAGGAAAGATGTCTTGAATAAAAAACAAAATGTACTAGTCATAAAGAAAATATTGATAAAGTCAACTACTTTATTTTTTTAAAGATTTTATTTGAGAGAGAGCACGAATGCACATGCATGAGCACAGGGAGAGGGGCGGAAGGAGAGGGAGAAAGCTAAGCAGGGAGCCCGAGGTGGGGCTGAACTCCTTATTTGGCAAGCTTCTGAATAAGTGAATCTTTGAAAAAGAGGATTTGATTCTCAGTAAATGAAGCCAAAACCTAGGTACTCAAAACTAGTGGCCAGATAATAGATTGAAGATGTAGGTACTGGGTTAAATAGGGTGCTTGGAAATAGTTCTGTAACTGCAGCCTTTTGTCCTGCAGATAAAGAATCCTGTGAACAGTCTTCTGAAGTCAGTGAAGCACAAACTACAGATAGTGATGACATAGTGACACCGGTCTCTCTGAAATGTCCTAAGGCAGTAAGTACACCAGGGTAATCATGGAGTGTGAGACAAGGTTGTAAATAATGACATTGTGCTTAACGGCCACAAAGGTGAAAATAATCCAGTTTTATTTTTTTTAATTTCTTTTAAAGATTTTATTTGTTTGTCAGAGAGAGAGAGAGAGAGCACACGCAGGGGAAGCGGCAGGCAGAAGAAGCAGGGTCCCCGCTGAGCAAGGAGTCTGATGTGGGACTCGATCCCAGGACTCTGGGATCAGGACCCTAGCTGAAGGCAGATGCTCAACCACTGAGCCACCAACGGGTCCCAATAATCCAGTTTTAATGAACCCGATGGGAAATTGGAGTTATTTAGTTAAATTTACATTGTGAATGAATGGAAATGTCTTGATACAGTCTCTGATGAAAGGATCACTTTCTTGATCTGGTATAAATGAGGACTTGCTTCAATACTTCTATCCTTTATTTGGATCCCTTGCCTGCCTCCTTCATTGTGTACTGTGATTCATCTCCAGCCTGAGTGATGCCCATTTCCTCAATCCACCTAAGGAGAGCAGGTTTACTTTCGGAGGTGGAGGCTAGAAAAGAGGAAAGGATTATTTGTGGGAAAGCTCAGAAAGATCATTCAGTTTCTGAAGTTTTTGACCTAACCTTTATTTATTTATTTATTTTTTAGATTTCATTTGTTTATTTGACAGAGACACAGCGAGAGAGGGAACGCAGCAGGGGGAGTGGGAGAGGGAGAAGCAGGCCTCCTGCTGAGCAGGGAACCTGATACGGGGCTGGATCCCAGGACCCTGGAATCATGACCTGAGCCTAAGGCAGATGCTTAATGACTGAGCCACCCAGGCACCCCTTGACCTAACCTTAAAACCTGAAATTGCTGGGGCGCCTGGGTGACTTAGTTGGTGAAGTGTCTACCTTCAGCTCAGGTCATGATCCCAGGGTCCTGGGATCAAGTCCCACATCAGGCTCCCTGCTCAGCGGGGAGTCTGCTTCTCCCTCTGCCTCTGCTACCCCCACCCCTGCCCCCCGCTCGTGCTCTCTCTCTCAAATAAATAAGTAAAATCTTTCCTTAAAAAATAATAAAATAAAACCTGAAATTGCAATTATTTATTAAATATTACAGCCTCAGATCTCTTGTGGAACTGAGGATACATACACACACACAAATATATATGACTAAATATCTGCAGATACATTTAACAATCACTGTATTAGAATCTCGTGGGTTTATAAGTGAGGTAGGAAACAAATCTCTCTCTTGAGCCAATAGAATGCTCCCTGACACATTTGTAGTTGCTCAATAAATATTTGTTGAATGAGTGACTGAATGAAAGATTGAAATCTGATTGAGGATTATGAACTTCATTAGAAACATTGTAAGTATAGTGTGACCTAGAATCAAGTGGTTAAATTATGTGATAGAAACTCTTAAGGTTTGTAAGAATTCAGAAAAGTGAAATTATTGCTGTTTTGTAAAGGTCAGAAAACTCTTCCTGGAAAGTGAGAACTTGTACTGAGGATTTGCCGGCAACTAAAGGATATTGGAGTAGGAAGAAACCATTCAAAATCAGTAGCCTTAAACAGTTAAGATAGCAAATACTTATTTTCTTCTGAACTTTTATCTCTTGTATCTTTCTTTAGCCATTACATAGTTAATATCTTGAGAAATGCTTACAAGATGGATCAGAGCCATAGGATGTTGGAATGGGACTATAAAACATTAGAGATCATAAAGGAGAAGATTAACTAATGTGTCCAGGATATAGAGCTAGTTAGCAGAAGAGCTGATCTCCAGTAAAAGTTTCTAAACCAAGCCACCTCTCAGATCAACCTGAAAAGCAGTCAGCTGGTCAGCAAGTGTTTGAACTACAAGTCAGACATTACATTTAAGATATTATTCAGAATTAAAGGCTCCTAAATAAGATCTCTTTCTGGAAAAACTTTGTGGACCCAAAAGTGCTATCTGAAGAACTAAATATGAAAACTGAGCTTACTGGGGTGCTTGGGTGGCTCAGTCAGTTAAGAATCCAACTCTTGGTTTCAGCTCAGGTCATGATCTCAGGGTCTTGAGATCAAACCCCGCATCAAGCTCTGTGCTCAGCGTGGAGTCTCCTTAAGATTCTCTCCCTTTCCCTCTGCCCCTCCCCTGCTTGCACTTGCTCTCTCTCACTCTCTTAAAAAATAAAAAGGAAACTGAGCTTACTTAGCAAAAACTGAGTGTTATCATCAAATTAAATTCACAGCACAAACACATATAGTTGACCTTTGAACAATGTGGGGGTGAGGGACATGACCCCCTGCACAGTTGAGAATCCACACGTAACTTTTTTTTTTTTTTTAGATTTTATTTATTTGACAGAGAGAGACGCAGCGAGAGAGGGAACACAAGCAGGGGGAGTGGGAGAGGGAGAAGTAGGCTTCCCACCGAGAAGGGAACCCGATGCGGGGCTCGAGCCCAGGACCCTGGGATCATGACCTGAGCCGAAGGCAGACACTTAACAACTGAGCCACCCAGGCACCCCTCCCCACATAACTTTTAACTTCCCCAAAACTTAACTACTGACAACCTACTGTTGACCAGAATGCTTACCCATTACATAAACTGTCAATTAACACATATTTTGTATATGTATTATATACTGTCTTCTTATGATAAAGTAAACTATAGAAAAGAAAATGTCATTAAGAAGATCATAAGAAAAAGAAAGATTTATAGTACTATACTGTATTTTTTAAAGGTTTTATTTATTTATTTGAGAGAGAGTGTGCGCGTGTGCACGTGAGCTGGGAGAGGAGCACAGGGAGAGGGACAAGCAGACTCCTTGCTGAGCACAGAGCGCAATGCGGGGCTCAGTCCCACAACCCTGAGGTCATGACCTGAGCTGAAATGAAGAGTCTGACACTTAACCGAATGAGCCATCCAGGTGCCCCTGTACTGTATTTATCAAAAAAAAACAAAAACAAAAAAACCCCAGGGGCGCCTGGGTGCCTCAGTCGGTTAAGCGTCTGCCTTTGGCTCAGGTCATGATCTCAGGGTCCTTGGATTGAGCCCTGCGTCAGGCTCCCTGCTCAGCGGGGAGTCTGCTTCTCCCTCTGCCTACCCCCCCCCAACTTGTGCGGGAAGGATACTTGAGCTTTTTTTTTTTTTTTGCTTTTTTTTTTTAAAGATTTTATTTATTATTTGACAGAGAGACAGCAAGAGAGGGAACACAAGCAGTGGGAATGGGAGAGGGAGAAGCAGGCTTCCTGCTGAGCAGGGAGCCCAGTGCAGGGCTCAATCCCAGGACCCTGGGATGCTGACCTGAGCTGAAGGCAGACGCGCAACTCACTGAGCCACTCAGGCGCCCCCCTTTTTTTTTTTTTGCATTCTTATGAATGAAATTAAACAGTACATGTTTTTCTTTTTAAAAACTTCTTATTTTGAAATAATTATAGATTTGTAAACAGTTGCACAAAAATGTACAGGCAGATGCCAGGTATCATTCACATAGTTTTTTGCATTTTTTTTTCTTTTTTGGTACACACTATTATGAAATGTGCATTTATCTTCAGTAACATTTTGGGATTCCATCCAAGTTGATATAATTTAGCTTTTTCTAGTTCATTTCTCTTAACTGCTGATCATTATTTTGTTAAATTAATATGTGACCTTTTATTTAGACAGACCTCAGTGGGCAATGCCGATTGCACTTCTATGCTATGCACTTGATATTCGTTAACTCACTAAAGCCTCACAGCAGCCCTGTGAGTTGTTAACTCCTTCTAACAAGTAATTATGGAGTACCTGTCTTAGTATTTGCCAGGTTCTGTGGACACAAAATGGTGAATAAGACAGACTTGGTTCCTTCCATCTTGAATCCTACATTCTCCTGAGGGAAAACATATAAATCAGTGAGAAAATAAATAAGATTATTTGTTGACTAAATACTATGAAGAAAATAATTTGAGGGGTGCCTGGGTGGCTCAGTGAGTTAAGCGTCTGCCTTTGGCTCAGGTCAGCATCCCAGGGTCCTGCTCAGTGCGGAGCCTGCTTCTCCCTCAGCCTCTCCACCCACTTGTGCGCTTGCGCACTCTCTCTCTCTCTCCCTCTCTCTAGCTCTCTCGCTCTATCTCAAAATCTTAAAAAGAAAAAAAAAAGAATTTGAATAATAGTAATGGGAGGGGTTGAGGCACCTGGCTGGCTCAGTTGGTAGAGTGTGCGACTCTTGATCTTGAGGTTGTGAGTTTGATCCCCACGTTGGGTGTAGAGATGACTTAAAAGTAAAATCTTAAAAAAAAAAAAAAAAAATCTTAAGAAAAAAAGAAAAAAAATCTAAAAAGGTTGAGTTAGGTAAGGTGTAAGGAAATACTTCTCTGAGAAGGGGACATTTAAACTGAAATTTGAAGTGTGAGAAGGTAAGAGATGGAGGGAAATTGTCTCAGACAGAGGAACTGGCAAATGGAGGGACCCTGGTGTAGAAGAGAATTTGGTTTATCTGAGGTACTGGAGATCAGGAGATGGTTATAGGTCAATAAAACTGGGGGGCAAAAAAAAAGAAGAAGAAGAAGAAGGAAAGGAAGGAAAGAAAGGAAGAAAGAATAAAATTTCGTAGCCAGACTTTGTAAATGAGCCCTGACAGGAACAAATGTTTGATGACCACACCTTGTCACTTTTGTTATTGTACAACCAGGTAACTACAATAAAACTGGAAAAAGAAAAAAAATAATGTCACAGTGAACATCTCTGTTCACGTGTATCTTTGTGTATTTGGCAAATGTTTTGGGGGGATAGATTCCTAGAAGTGAAACTGCTGGTTTTAAAAGGAATGTGCACTTGAACTTTTGATGGATACCTCCAAATGATCAGCCCCCAAATGATAACCACTGTCACCCTGTGGTGGCCTTTCCCCCCCAGAATTCTCAGTTCCTGACTTTAATGGAATGAGAGTGTCTGTAAGGGAAGGAATCAAAAGTAATTTGGAAAAATTTAGATCCAGGTGGCATAGAGAAGTAACAAAACACCTGAGGGGTACGTTAGATGCTGGGACTATGGGGGCTGGTGAGGCCAACTTGTGGTCCTAGAACACAGGGAGCTGACAGCCTGGGAGGTGCTGTCCCCAGAAGTAAAATGTGACACAAAGTAATTTAAAATTTCCTAGTGTCCACATGAAAAGTGTGAAAAGAAACAAGTAAAGTTAATTTTAATAATATATTTTATTTAACCTAGTATATCCAAGGTATTATCATTTCAATATGAAATCAATATAAACAATTGTTGAGACACCTTACATTTGTTTTTTTCCTGCAAAGTCTCCAAAATCCTGTGAATTTTACGCTGACAGCTCCCAATTCAGATTAGTTACATTTCAAGTGCTCAGTAGCCACATGTGGCTAATGGCTGTTGTGTCATAGAGCATAAGGTGGGGTGCCATATTTTCCAGCTACAAGTTGACATCCCTAGACAATGAAATCAAAATAGGGGGTCCCAGCCAGCACTTTTTTAAAAACAAACAAAAAACTGAGAAAAAATAAAATACAAAATAATAATTTGCATCACACCTATTGAGGTTAAAAATTGTTTAAGGAGACTTTTATTTCAGTGATTTCTTTTTATACACATATATATAAATATGCATAGGCCAAGTTTTATAGTTTGAAACCCACTGGTCTGGTGGCTGTTCATTTTTAACTACGGGAAAAAAAAATGTTCATCCTCATTAAGCATAGGAGGCTTTTTTTTTTTTTGGTAAGATGTTGCCGGAGATCATTCAGGTACTTATATAGCTATGAACACTTTTCTTTTTTTTCCAGACCTCAGTGTTTCCTAAAGTGTGTTCTTTGGAAAATTAAGCCCAACCATGTCCAGGAAAAAAACAAAAGTGATTGTATAGTCAAATATGTTTGGAAAAAACTATCTTTGTATCATCCTCTAAAAGTGTCCTGATGCATATTAACATATTAAAGGCTGTAAGTCCAGTTAGAGAAAGCTGATAACTTTGTTAATCTTGATTTTACAAAATGTATTTTTTTAAAGATTTATTGATTTATTTTCGAGAGAAAGAGCGAGTGGGAGGAGAGGCAAAGGGAGAGGGAGAGAATCTCAAGCATGCTCAGTCCCTGCTGAGCAGGGAGCCCGACGCAGGGCTCCATCCTGTGACCCTAAGATCATGACCTGAGCCAAAACCAAGAGTCAGACACTGAACGCACTGAGCCACCCAGGTTCCCCTCCAAAATGTATTTGATCACAGAACCACTCATTTGTAAAACACCTATTCCTCAGACACCTTTGAGAAGTTCTGCTTCGTTTTTATGAAACTGTAGGGCATAGGGTTCTCAGCTTAAAAATAATTGCAACAGGGGTGTCTGAGTGGCTCAGTCTGTTAACCGTCTTGGTTTTGGCTCAGGTCCTGATGTCAGGGTCGTGAAATGGAGCCTGCGTCAGGCTCTGTGCTCAGCAGAGAATCTTCCTGAGATCCTCTCTCTCCCTCTGCTCTTCCCCCTGCTCACACACACTCTCTCCAAAATAAATAAATACATAAAATCTTTTTAAAAATTAAAAAAAAAATTACAACAGTGGCATTGGAGAACTTTCTAGGGTGATGGTTCTGTATCTTGAATAGGGAGTTGATTACACACTTGTATATATTTGTCAAAAGTGTACATGTTAGGTTTTGTATTTTACTGTGTGTAAATTATATACATAAATGTTTAAAAGTTAAACAGAGGGGCACCTGAGTAGCTCCGTCGCTTAAGCATCTGCCTTCGGCTCAGGTCATGATCCCACGGTCCTGGGATCGAGCCCCACGTTGGGCTCCCTGCTCAGTGGGGAGCCTGCTTCTCCCTCTCCCTCTACCTCTATTCCCCCTCACCCGCTGCTCGTGCACTCATGCACTCTATCCCAAATAAATAAACTCTTTTAAAAAATTAAAAAAATAAAAGTTAAACAGATTGTCAGGAGCCACCCTAGGCAGTGTGATTTAAGAGTGGCTTTTATGCTTTTTTAATGACAGTCGCTGTAAGAAATACATTTCTACATTGTGCCCAGTACAATCATATATAAACAAAAGCTTTAAGAAACAGGGCTTACCATTTGCCATGAACTCTCATATTTTCTGTCCTATTCCATTCCATTCTATCCTCGCCTATCTTATTCTTTTATTTAAAAAAAAAAAAAATGCTAGTGAAACCCAAAACCCACCCAGCTGACCCGTAAGTGTCAAAACCCACATTTTGGAAAACATAATAGTTTTCATGATGGGGATTGTAGGAGGGTTTGTGAGGGCTTTTGAGAGGGCAACATCAAGTAGCTTTATTTTCAAGAGTCACCCAGGTTGTTCTGAAGTAGATTTGTTGAGAAATACTGCCTAGGAGCCTAGGAGCCCCGCCTGCTTCCTAAGAGAAGCAAAGATGGGGGTGGGGGTAGATCTTTGGAGAAGTGAAAGCATTGGCCTGGCAACCTAGAGCACGGGAGAGTCCCCGCAGGTGACAAGGGAGAACCATGGCTGGTTGGGGCCATCCCAGACTGACCCCTTACTAGTGTCAGGACAGCACTTGTTGCCACACTGTGGAAGGGGAGGACTTCACTTGGCCTTCAGCTTCTGTCTTGAAACTCGAAAGATGTCAGCCCTCCCCCTGGTGTCCCTAATGCAAAAATGGATACAGGGATGGTCCAAAGAGAGGACGGTGGCTGTGGCAGCAACTCTGAAGCAGGGCTGGAAGGACAGGTGTTGCCATGAGGGGGCAGGCTGCTCAGGCGGCCTGCTCTATGGCAGGCACTTCGTGGGCACAGGCAGCTCTGGGCAGTGGCTTTACCGGTAAACTGATTCTCAAGCATGTGTAAGATAGGGGCAACCCTCGAGGGTCCCCTCCCTCTTCGGGAGCTTGGTGCTATCAGCTGTCACTCAGTAAACTTTGCTGCCCACCAGAAAAAATTTTTTAAAGGGTATATGAGATGGAATATGGCTACGATTGCTGTCTGAGGGAGTAATGTGTTCATTAGATGGAATAGAAACGCTTGGAGCATCGCTAACCTATAGGAGATAAATAAGTATTTTCCTTGTCAGGGTTCGGAGAAGATGTGCATTGAAATTGTCTCCCTGGCCTTCTACCCAGAGGCTGAAGTGATGTGTGATGAGAATGTCAAGCAGGTGTATGTAGAGTACAAGTTCTGTGATGTACCTTTGTCAGAGACGGAGACCCCAGTGTCCCTGAGGAAGCCAAGGGCGGGAGAAGAGATCCACTTCCACTTCAGCAAAGGTGAGGCACCCCTTGTGCTTGGCTGGAAGAGGAGTCTGAGGGGTCAGAACTGCCCCTCACTTCCAATGCGGTGGATGCAACCTTGTTATATATCAAAGTGATAGATGCATATGGTTTTACTTATGTTTTTTGTTTTTTATTATTTTAAATAAGTTTTTTATTTTAATTCCAGTATAGTTAACATACAGTGTTATATTAGTTTGAGGTGTACAACATAGTGCTTCGACAATTGTGTACATTATTCAGTGCTCATCATGATGAGCATACTCTTAATCCCCATCACCTATTTCCCCCATCCTCCCCGCCCACCTCCCCTCCAGTAACCCTCTGTTCTCTATACTTAAGAGTCTGATTTTTTGGTTTGTCTCTTCTTTTTCCTTCATTCATTTGTTTTGTTTCTTAAATTCCACGTATAGGTGAAATCATATGGTATTTGTCTTTCTCTGACTTACTTCGCTTAGTCTTATACTCTCTAGATCCATCCACAGTGGCTGCACCAGTTTGCGTTCCCACCAACAAGGCAAGAGGGTTCCTTTTTCTCCACATCCTCGCCAACACTTGTTGTTTCTTGTTCTTGTTCTTTAGCCATCCTGACAGGTATGAGGTGATATCTCACTGTGGTTTTGATTTGCATTGCATAATGCAAATTATGCATATAGTATGCATATGCATTGCATAATGAGTGATTTTGAGCATCTTTTCATGTGTCTGTTGGCCATCTGTATGTCCACTCTGGAGAATGTTCATGTTTTTGCCCCATTTTTTAATTAGGTTATTTGTTTTTTGAATGTTGTGTTGTATCAGTTCTTTATGTATTTTGGATACTAACCCTGTACCACATATGTCATTTGCAAATATCATCTTCCATTCAGTAGGTTGCCTTGTAGTTTTGTTGATTATTTCCTTCACTGTGCAGAAGCTTCTTATTTTGATGTAGTTCCAATAATCTATTTTTGCTTTTATTTCACTTGCTTTAGGAGACATATGTAGAAAGAAATTGCTCTGGCTGATGTCTGAGAAATTACTGCCTGTGCTCTCTTCTAGGATTTTTATAGTTTCAGGTCTCGAATTTAAGTCCTTAATCCATTTTGAATTTATTTTTTGTATGATGTAAGAAAGTGGTCCAGACTCACTCTTTTGCATGTAGCTGTCCTGTTTTCCCAACACCGTTTGTTGAAGAGACTGTCTTTTTCCCGTTGCATGTTTTTGCCTCCTTTATCAAAAATTAATTGGCATATAATCATGGGTTTGTTTCTGGTTTTTCTGTTCTGTTCCATTGATCTGTGTGTCTGTTTTTGTGCCAGTAAAAATACTGTTTTGATTACTACAGCTTTGTGGTATATTTTGAAATCTGGGAGATTGTGATACTTCCAGCTTTGTTTTTCTTTTTCAAGATCGTTTTGCCAATTTGGGGTCTTTTGTGGTTCCATAAAAATTTTAGGAATATTTGTTCTAGTTCTGTGAAGAATGCTGTAGGTATTTTGGTAAGGATTACATTAAATCTGTAGACTGCTTTGGTTAGCATAGACATTTTAACAATATTTGTTCTTCCAATCAATGAGCACAGAATATCTTTCTATTTGTTTGTGTCATCTTGAGTTTCTTTCATTGTTGTTTTATAGTTTTCAGAGTATAGGTTTTCACCTCCTTGGTTAAGTTTATTCCTAGGTATTTTATTAATTTTGGTGCAATTGTAAATGGGATTGCTTTCTTAATTTCTTTTTTTTTTTTTTAAAGATTTTATTTATTTGAGAGAAAGAATGAGAGAGAGAGAGCACATGAGAGGGGGGAGGGTCAGAGGGAGAAGCAGACTCCCTGCTGAGCAGGGAGCCCGATGCAGGACTCGATCCCGGGACTCCAGGATCATGACCTGAGCCGAAGGCAGTGGCTTAACCAACTGAGCCACCCAGGTGCCCGCTTTCTTAATTTCTTTTTCTGTTGCTTCATTATTAGTGTGTAGAAATGCAATGAGGGGTGCCTGGGTGGCTCAGTCAGTTAAGTCTCTGACTCTTAATCTCAGCTCAGGTCTTGATCTTAAGGGTTGTGAGTTCAAGCCTAGTGTGGAGCCTACTTAATAATAATAAAAATAGTAACAATAATAATAAAGAAATGCAACAGATTTCTGTATGTGCATTTTGTATCCTGCAACTTTACTGAATTCATTTATCAGTTCTAATAGTTTTTTGATGGAGTCTTTAGGGTTTTCTCTATATAGTATCATGACATCTACAGATAGTGAAAGTTTTACTTCTTCCTTACCAATTTGGATGCTTTTTATTCCTTCTTCTTATCTGATTGCTGTGGCTAGGACTTCCAGTACTGTGTTGAATAAAAGTGGTGAGAGTGAATATCCTTATCTTATTCCTGGTCTTAGGGGGAAAGCTCTCAGTTTTTCACCATTGAATATGATGTTAGCTGTGGGTTTTTCACATATGGCCTTTATTATGTTGAGGAATGTTCCCCTTAAACCTACTTTGTTGAGGGGTTTTATCATGAATGGATATTGTACTTTGTCAAATGCTTTTTCTCCATTTATTGAAATGATCTCTTATTGATATGCTGTATCACATTGATTTATAAATATTGAAACACCCTTGTAGCCTGGGAATAAATCCCACTTGATCATGATGATTTTTTTAATGTATTGTTGAATTTGGTTTGCTAATATTTTGTTGAGGATTTTTGCATCTATGTTCATTACAGATACTGCCTTGTAGTTCTCTTTTTTTGTAATGTCTTTATCTGGTTTGGAATTTTGATGTTTTCCTGCCTCTTCTATTTTTTGGAATAGTTTGAGAAGAATAGGTATTAACGCTTCGTTAAATGTTTGGTAGAATTCCCCTGTGAAGCCGTCTGGTCCTGGACTTTGGGAGTTTTTTTGTTACTGATTCAATTTCATTGCTGGTAATCAGTCTGTTCAAATTTTCTACTTCTTCTGAATCAGTTTTGGGAAGTTATTGGTTTCTAGGAATTTGCCCATTTCTTCTAGGTTGTCCAATTTGTTGGCATATAATTTTTCATAATAATCTCTCACAATCCTTTGTATTTCTGTGGTGTTGGTTGTTTTTTCTCCTCTTTCATTTCTGATTTTATTTGAGCCCCCCCGCTTTGATGAGTATAGCTAAAGGTTTATCAATTTCGTTCATCTTTTCAAAGAACCAGCTCCTGGTTTTATTGATCTGTTCTATTGGTTTTTAAAGTTTCTCTTTCTTTAATTTCTGCCCTAATCTTTATTATTTCCTTCCTTGTACTGGTTTGAGTTTTGTTTCTTCTTCTTTTTTTAGTTACCTTAGGTATAATGTTAGGTTGTTGGTTTTTTTGTTTTTTAATTTTTCTTGCTTCTTGAGTTAGGCTTGTATTCTTATAAACCTCCCTCTTAGAACAGCCTTTGCTGCATCCCAAAGGTTTTGGACCATTGTATTTTCATTTGTCCCCATGTATTTTTTTTTTTTATTTCCTCTTTGATTCCTGGGTTGACCCATTCATCGTTTAGTAGCATGTTATTTAACTTCCATGTATTTGTGCTCTCTTCAGATTTTTTCTTGTGGTTGATTTCTAGTTTCATAGCATGTGATCAGAAAAGATACATGGTGGGGCACCTGGGTGGCACAATTGGTTGGGCATCCAACTCTTGGTTTCAGCTCAGGTCATGATCTCGGAGTCGTGGGATCAAGCCCTGAGTCGGGCTCTGCACTCAGTGTGGAGTTTGCTTGGGTTTCTCTCTTCCTCTCCCTCTACCCCTCCCACTTGTGCACTCTCTCTCTCTCTCTCTAAAATAAATAAATCTTTTAAAAAAAAGAAAAGAGGGGAGCCTGGGTGGCTCAGTTGGTTAAGCGACTGTCTTCAGCTCAGGTCATGATCCTGGAGTCCTGGGATCGAGTCCCACGTCGGGCTCCCTGCTCAGCGGGGAGTCTGCTTCTCCCTCTGACCCTCTTCCCTCTCATGCTCTCTCTCTCTCTGATTCTCTCTCTCTCAAATAAATAAATAAAATCTTTAAAAAAAAAGAAAAAAAGAAAAGATACATGGTATGACTGATATTTTTGAATTTGTTGAGACTTGTTTTGTGGCCTAATATGTGATCTCTTCTGGAGACTGTTCCATGTGCACTTGAAAAGAATGTGTATTCTGCTGTTTGGGGATGGAGTGTTCTGAATGTATCTGTTAAATCCATCTGGTCCAATGTGTCATTCAAAGCCATTGTTTCCTTGTTGATTTTCTGTTTGGATGATCTGTCCATTGATGTAAGTGGGGTTATGCATATGGTTTTAAAATATCAAATAGGCCTAGAAAGATTTTTAATTAAAATTGAGCAGTCCCTTTTTCCATCCCTTTTCCACAAATCACTCCCTGTCGTCCTCCCCATTCTCCTCAGTCCACCACACCCCTTTTCACTTTTTCTGCTATTTCTCGTTATTTAACTCCATGTTTCTGAATAATGTTCTGTTGCAATTTCCTGACTCACCAATTTTAGATATTATCTGCTGACTTCTTATCGTGACATGTAAAATTTCTCTCTCTTACACTATACCCATTTTCTCTTCCTCCCATAGAGTTGGATCATAACTTTCATTTAATCCAATCTTAATTGTTTCTATTATTATGGATATGTAAATATTAATTCTTCAGAACCAAGTAGTATGCCATGGTTATAATCCTTTTTTTGTTTATTATTTTGTTTGTCTCAATTTTTCGTTTGCTGTATCTTCATTATGCCCATTGTAATTCTTTTCACATCCTCCAACAGCCTTTCCAAGTTTTCAAATAATCCAAACCTGTCAAAAAATGTATCAGTTTTTTTTCCTTGAAGACCTTTCTTCAGCCCGCCATTCAGCTATTATCCTGCAATTTGGAGAATTTGATTTAATTTTCTCCTATACTGGATTTCTTGTCTCCTGGGTTCTCTGTCATCCTCTGATTCACTTTTATATTTTAATGGGTCATATTTTCCAGTAGCTTTTAAAGAAAGAGTACATTGGAAGGAAACATTTTGAGACCATCGTGCATGAAGTCTCTTTATTCTACCCATATATTCAATTGATAATTAGATCAAGTATAGACATCTATTTTGAAAACATTCTTATTCAGAATTTTGAAGCAGTTGGTCCATGGTCTTTGCCAAGAGTCTATCCTTTGTATGAAAACTACCTCTACCTGTCCAGAAGACTTGAACATTTTATCTTTCTCTTCAGTGTTCTTAAATTTCAGGATAATGTGTATATTTTTCCTGTAATTGTTCCAGCCATCCAGGGGGCTCTTTCAATCTGGAAGCTTATGGCTTTTAGTTCTGGGAAATCTTATTGCATTTCTTTGATAATTTTGTCCCCAGGATTTTCTCATTTTCTTAGTAGAGTTCTTGATCTTCCAAAATGATCCTCTAACTTTCTCATTTTCTTCCTATAATCCTACCTCTACTTTTTTTTTTCTATTTTTGGAAAATTTCCTTAATTTTTTTTAAGATTTTATTTTTAAGTATGGCTCAGTCAGTTAAGCATCTGACTCTTGATTTCGGCAGAGGATATGATCTCAGGGTCATGAGATTGAGCTCCCTCCCCATCAGGCTCCACAAGAGTTGCATGCTCTACCGACTGAGCCAGCCAGGTGCCCCCTCAAATTTCCTTAATTTTATCTTCCAGTCATTGAAAATTTATCTTAAATTTCTTTTTTTTTTAAAGATTTTATTTATTTATTTGAGAGAAAGAATGAGAGAGAAAGCACGCCCCGCCGAGCAGGGAGCCCAACGCGGGACTCGATCCCGGGACTCCAGGATCATGACCTGAGCCAAAGGCAGTCACTTAGCCAACTGAGCCACCCAGGCGCCCTATCTTAAATTTCTAAGAACTGTTTGTTGCCGTCTGTTCCCCCCCTTTTTTTTTCCTTAAGTGTATCCTGTCCTATGAGGTAGAAGTTTATTTCTTACCTATATAAAATGAATTCTGAAGGGGGCAGTGTAGGACTGAGGCTACGTGATTCTGTCAGGGTCCAAACTCCTATCCTGCCTTCCTATCAACCTAGCGCCTATCTTCCATCCTTTTGGTGACCCTGTCCCCCTTAATGGCTGCCAGGGAAAGGAAGGATGCCTCCCAGTTGAGCCTGTTAAGCATGTTTCACATAACACGATAGCCAGAATTGAAGCGTGCAGCCAAACCCAGCTAAAACAGAGGCTGGAAAACATAAGCTAATGTATTTGCAGCTGCAGCATTCCCATATAGAAAGGAGGAGGAAGGGGAGGGTGGGTGTTGAGACAGGTACCTCGAGTTGAACCTGCTGCAAAACTCAAACCTCTGGGTGGCCCTAAAAAATCAGTCTCCTGGGGTTCTTCCAGCGGTAGAGCGGTGGGAGCACACTCATCTTGGCGCCACGGCAGAACAGCTTTCAGTGCAGATCCTGAGGCTTCCTTTTCATCAGGGTCGACAAACTTTCTTAAAGGGCCAGATAGTAAATATTTTAGGCTTTGTGGACCAAATGGTCTCTGTCACAGCTATTCAGCTCTGCCACTGTAGTTGGAAAGCAACCATAGATAATATGTAAACAAATAGGCATTGGCTGTATTCAGTAAAAACTCTATTTACCAAAACAGGTGGCTCACCCATGAGCCCTAGCCTGCCAACCTCTCTTTTCTGTCACACGGCTTTACATATACCTCTTATGAAAGTCTTAGTGCCCAAAGAGCAACGGCGTATGATACTTTGCTTTTCTCCTCTCTTATCCTTAATACAGTGATAGACTTGGACCCACTGGAACAAAAGGGCCGAAGGCGGTTTCTGTTCGCCATGCTGAACAGACAAGATCCTGAGCAAGGACGGTAAGCATCTTTCTGCTTTGGAAGAAGGGAGATATTATCCACACAGGAGCTCAGGAGTTTAAGTTTGGTTTTGTGCTGATACTGAATATTCGAACAACTTCTTTCACGTTAATTTACTGAATGGATTTCTCATCTCTTTGAGTCTGATTCATTTTTACAACTACCTGATAAACCATAGGAATCTCATCGGTGTAGTCCATCTCTCACCCATGAGCCCCCTGATAAGCACTTTTTTTGTGGCAGCAAGTACTTGAATACTAACAGTGCTCTATGAGGAATGGCCAAAACCCTTTGACATTCCCAGATAATTTATTTCCCACAAACACAGTACCATTGCTGGCTTGCCAAATATTCTGTCTTTATAATATTAATTTCATATTTAGTTTTTTTTTTTTAAGTGGGCTCCACACCCGGCGTGGAGCCCAGTGTGGGGCTTAAACTCATGACCCAGAGATCAAGTCCTGAGCTGAGATCAAGTGTCGGACGCTTCATCGACTGAGCCACCCAGACACCCCCCATATTTAGATTTTTAAAATTATTTCTCCACAGGATTACTTTGAGTTTGATGTAACTGAAATAAGTTCTAGGCGTACTATCAATTGTAGGAAAGTGCCCTTGTTATTCCTCTGATCTGAAGAGGCCTCCATTTAGAAGTTCCCGATGAAATGCACAGGACATAGTTACACTAAGAAAATTATTCGTTGTTTAGCTGAAATTTGAAATTCAAATTTAAGTGGGCATCTGTTTAGGGTTTTTTCGTTTTTGGCAAGATCTAGCAATGTTGCCTCCTTTTCAAGTGTGTGGGTAAGAAATAATACAGGGCTGGTGTTTAATTTGCATTTACTTTGTCTCCAGTCAGTCATAGAAAGGACTGAAAAAGGAGCCACTGAAATAAACAGTGAATCTGACTCCGGTATCACTGTGTACTTAAACACAGAGAAGCTGACTGCTAACTTTTGGGAATGGAAAGCGTTTGGTTGTTTCCCTTCTGCATCAATGTTAAATTTAGTTATTTTCTTTTCTTCTTGCAGCATTCCTAGAATACGCTCTTCCTTGATTCCCTTACAGTGGTAGCTTTTCTTCTTTTCTTTTTGTAACCTCCTATTCAATTTTAGATTTCGATTGATTTTACCTTTCTGTTTGCCAGCGTCGTACAGTGGACAGAACATTATTGGCTTTGTAATCAGAGAGACCTGGTTTTGTTTTGTTTTTTTTGTTTTGTTTTGTTTTTTTTTAGAGAGGCCTGGTTTTGAATCCTGACTCTTCCACTTACTAGCTCTGTGATCTTTGAATATTACTTAACTTGAAGCCTTGTGTGAGGCTACAACTGAAATAATGTAATTTATCTAAAGCATCTGGGAGGCACCTGGGTGGCTCAGTCAGGCGTCTGACACTTGGTCTCAGCTCAGGTCTTGATCTCAGGGTCGTGAATGAATGAATGAATGAATGGATGGATGGATGGATGGATGAATGGATGAATGAATGCCCTGTACCTAGAAAGGGGGGACTTGGGGTCAGGGAGTCAGCATTATCCCTTTGTATTGTTGAAGTTCTCAGTAAGGATACAGAAGCATCATCACAAATGAATATTGCCTCATGAGCTAACAATGTATCACTTTCAGAATTTCTTTTTAGCTTAGTCTTGCTTAGCTGTGATTTTAAAAGCTTGAATTTTTAGTCCTATTCTTGCTCCCTTACCACTATTTGCCACTAGTATTTGCTTTTAAAAAATTAATAGGGATACAGAATGTCCAGAATAGGCAAACCCAGAGAGACAGTCGATTGGTGGTCTCCCGGAGCTGAGGGAAGGAGAATGGGAAGTGGCTGCGTGATGGCTGTAGGATTTCTTCTTGGGGCGATGAGCATGGCCTGGAATTACTGGTGATGGTTGGGCAACACTGTGATTTTGCTAAAACACACTGAATGGTACACTTTAAAATGGTTAAGATAATGAATTTATGTGTGAATTTTATCTCCAAAAATCAAGT